ATATTTATTATACAATAAGTAAATAATGATATCAAAGCGAGGTAGTTTTAAGAACTATATCTTTGTAATACTTAAAATAATATATTATCTCTCATATCTGTCCCTCCTTAGTATAATATACATATAGATATAGATAAGAAAATCTAGGTATTAAGTATTAAAGTATATACTTAGGCCCAGACTGATGGCATAATGGTATACAACTCAACCCCATGATATTTTTGTGTGCAAAATCACATTTTGTGTTGGACATTGAGAAGTCTTTAAACGAACTTAGCTCTAGCCCTCATTAATATCCTTAATTTACAGTGTTTAAACGGTCCTTCAACGAATTCCATATCATCAAAAATGGAAGTCGCTTTGAATAAATCCAAGTCTACACACTGGCCACATGCTGGCGCCTGCATTGTCAGACATGTTGTCGGCGATTTCCCAAATTGGGTTCCGAGAAAAGCCCTGGTCATATCAAATTATGATGATAAGAAAGATAATAATCGTAATCATGAAGCATCCTTTTCCAACGTCTTTTTCCTTGTCATGAACATCGCGTCCGTCCTATTCGGCACCTTTATAGTGCGACGCGCCCCTAGATATCGCCTATGCGCGCTTGGTTGTTGCCGAAGGCGGTGATTCCAGACTACTACGTCACCTCAGAACCAAAGTATGTTGCTATGGAGTTGCATTATTCTGTATGGCAGGCCAAATATTGCTGGTATTATTTGAGGATGTTGGCTGCTGATGAGTCTCTTCGAATCGTGACTGCGCTAAGTAGCCGTACGAGCTCCTGATTTCCATCGCCATTTCGACCCATGAACGTATTGCTTAAGTAGTCTCTTATATGAAACATCATGAGAAAGCCTGATGGAACCTTGAGGAAAATAGGCAGCCCAAATGATGGCACAATATGTGCGTGCGTTATTGATACAGAGCTACACGCTAATCGGCTCTGTTCAGGGCCAGCAACGCACCATAAAGGAGAAGAAGCCTCCGAAATGGGGACTTATACCGAATACAATAGATAATTGGCGACCAAGGCCACGATTAGGAAATATCTCTCTACCAAATTTAGCCACATACCATTGAGCGATACGTGTCGTGTCCTTTCATCGAGTGAGCATCTGTTTCCTAGGAGCCGTTGCGACGAATGGTACGCCTGTCTGTCTTATCTCCGGTTTCAGTACTTTGGCAAGCATGGCTTCATTTGAACCCTAAGCGAGATTCAATAGTACCGGATTAGCATGTAATGCACCCTGGTTATCATCAACCCTTGATGCTCTGCTAATGAATTTGAACAAACAAAGAGCCAACAATTATTCTCGTGTGAAAAAGTCCAGGGCCAAGGGCTCTGAAGTCGACAAATTAATTGAAAGCCAAGTTAATGATCTGTATACGTAGAGATTCTTAGATACAATGTACTCAATATAGCAAAGGGGCCTTTACCAAACGTGTTTCTATCCCAACGTAAGAAGCAAACCGAATGAGCCGAACAACACGATGAACAAAAGTGTGAACAAAAGTACCATGCACACCGCAATATCGAAACCCCGTTTCTGAAGATTGTGGCTTTTCAGGTATCGAATAGCTTGTGCGGGGGAGGTACGGTACATAGAAATGAGTGTCAGTTAAAATCAACCAGTTATTGTCAAAAGCCGGTCAAGGGGGGGCTGGCACGTATGCCCTTTAAGAGTAACCGCCGAGTGTCCGAAGTACCAAGAATGACATTAACTGATCAATATTCATCCCAAACTACATGGAGTGTCATGTAGCATCGCTTGAAGCTAGTATGCCATTCAACCCTATAGCATCCTTCTCCTCGAGGGTCCAACGATCCTGCGTGTAGAAAGAAGGGTACGGCTTCGACCATTCAGAGTAGGCTTTTGAAGTAGAATATTTGGTGGCAAAAAATCATAGCCAAAAGTTTTGTACGGTATTTCAACGGCTGACAATGTGTGCTCGAAATCTACAACCGATTTGAGTCGAGTAAATTGCTTCGGTTCCAAAAAAAAAAAAAAAAAACCATCCGCAAACTATTAAATCCTGCAGCGCAAGGGTTTCAAGGCAATTGCATGGACGAGATTGTCGACGATAGCAAGGAACGAATACGACCATTGCCATACGGTGAGGCCAGGGTGGGAGCTAGGATACTTCATATTCCTGATATTGAATATTCAGCAGGGTAGTGACTCACATGGGACGTTCATGAAGGGTATAAAAAGGTAAGATGTTCCTCTATTATTCTTCAAAAAACAAGCAACTCAACTTATTATCCAACGATCAACATCCGCCCCTCACTGTTGCAAAATGAAGCTCGCTTTCACCATTCTTATCGCTCTCACCTGTCAGGTGTGATATTTACTTCTAAACCTGACATTGACACATACTAATGTTACACTAGTCTCTGGCCTCTCCTGCTGAGGTCAATAAGTCCCTTCGAGATGATGGCCTCTACAACGGGGAGGAAGATGTCCTTGACATGGACGAAATCGACTCCATCAGCATCATGGATTTCATCGGTCCTATCACCCCTGGCGGCCCCAATGTCACCCTGAGCGGCACTGCCAAGGAAATCTATGACCAGATCCTCGAGTTGAACCCATCCTACAGTGTGTGGGACTTCGACGAGTATGCGGACGACCTGGAAGCTCGTGGACTGACCCCTGAGGATATTGATGTCAACAATCCTTCTCTCAAGATACGCTCTTCCGTCATGGCTGAGCTTCAAGGGCGAGATGGCGAGTTGGTAACTCGAGACAGTGTAATTAACTCTATTAGTGACCTGATTGCCAAATAGCTAACTGCTCGCAGTTCAATTGTAACATCGGCTCCTATGTTGGAAACGTATGGAGTCAATGCGGCGAAGGCTTTGGTTACCTCTGGAATCTTGGAAAGGCTTGGTGCGGCGCCAAAGCCAAGAGCTGCGCGCGTGTCAGCTGCTCTCACAACTGTGGCATGTATCTCTGCAGCAAGGTCAGTCCTTTTAACCTCTTCTCTGCCGGGGTCCACAAAAGAAAATGCTGACGAAGTATTCTTCAACATCAGTTGTCGAAGGAAAAGAAGGTCCATTGTGGAAATATTGCCAATGACATGGTCAAGATTGCTTATGAATGTGGTTCAGATGTGACTACGTGGGCGTATCGAGCTAGAGGCCAGATGCAGTTCTCTTGCCACAACACCAAGCTGTCGAGCCCGTCGTGCTAAGTTATCCTGAGTTGTCGCTCCTCCTTTGCTTATTTAGTCTTGTTACTGGCTCAGCAGGGAAACTTGTCTCGTTTTACATGTCATATCCCGTCGGTTGAATCCTCTTCTATGGTTGTATTTGATACATTCATAAACGGAATGGTTCTAGCCCCGTTGATAGCGTAGAATCTAATATAACAACTCTTTATTTGCGATATTTAGCTTTCTTTGGTTAGATTTCGCAGTGATAGAATCCCGACCGAGGAGGATCGACAGAGTCAGTAAGACTCTTCGGAATGTCCACACTAGCAATTTTTCCCTCCAATGTAGACGTCTATGAGGCCTTTCTATTGCTTACTAAATGATACCTTCATCCTCCCTAATAAGTAGCAGGGAATACACCTAGTCGCCCACCGTCTGTTACGAGGACATTCCCATTCACATAAGAACCTGCTCGGCTGGCGAGATACAACACAGACCCTGCAATGTCTTGGGCATCTCCAGCGCGTTGAGCTGGGACCTCGCTCTTGGACCAACCGGTCTTCTCACGCTCCTCAAGTGTCTTGACCGTCAGTTCGCTCGGATAAACTTTCAATACATATCAGTGCATCATTCTCATCTCCTGTCGAATACTGCCCGACAGTTTCGTATAGGTGTAGATTATTGAAGACTTACAACCAGGTGCGATGATGTTAGCCCGGATATCATACGGAACCAATGTGGTGGCCAGCTGCTTGAAGATGTGGGTAACGGCGGCTTTGGAGGCGCTGTAAGAGTAACCCAGACCTGGTCTGCGGTTAAACGCACCAATACTGCTTGTGACAACAACCTGGCTTTTTTGTGAGACATTGCCTTGCTTGTTGCCCAGGTCAAGCAGTTGCAGGAAGGCGGCCACGGTGTTGAAGGCGCCGGTAGCATTAACAGCAAAAGTATGAGTAAAATCGTCCGCTCCCCAGTTCCACAAATGCTTCTGTAGCTCTTCAATACTGGCCTCGGGCTTCAGTCCGGCCAGTGATGGGCCTCCGATGCCGGCGTTAGCAAACACGATGTTAATATAACCATGGGCTGACTGAATTTGTTTAGCAGCCCTCTCAAGGTCTGCCTTGTTCGTCACATCGCCTTGGATAGCGTGAATGTTGCCGTTTTTCTACGTCAATTAGACAGGTGGAAAACGAAGTAGGAATAGGTGGTGAATGCGCACAGCTGTTTTGACGGCCTGGTCCAGTGACTGCTGTCGACGGCCGAATATGTATACAATCGCTCCATTTGCCTCCAGCGCTTGGGCGATCAGGAGGCCAATCCCTAGAGTGAAATTAGTTAATGAATCATCATTTGAATGGAAAATCAAGATCCTACTTGGTGGGTTGGGTCTTCACTTACCAGTAGCACCACCAGTAACAAAGGCTATCAGGCCTTTGACATCAAAGAGCTCACCAGACTGAATTGATGCAGACATTTTGACAACGTGAATAACTTTCAAGAAGCTAAATTTCTCAAGAGAAATTCTAAATTATCTCAAATTGAGGGAAACAGAGGCAATTTATCATTCTTCTGATTACCATTAGCCCCGTCCTATTGAGATGGCGACATTTCGGTGGTGATGGCGGGATCTGCTTCGTCACTCCTGTCGGAACTTGTGCGACAGACATTCAGCTACACCCCACCCGCGTGAATAACTGCTAGTATTCGTTCGTAAAAGGAAGTAATTTGTTCTGACTGAGTGCTGATTTAAATTTGTGAAGCTGCTTCATAATACAGGACGCCGTTGCTCAAATACCAAAACTAAGTGAGAAGTCTCTTGACGTGCTATCGAAGTAATTACTCTACAGCTTAGAAGCAGGTCTTTTTGTATCCTCCACCAACTCTACAACAGCCTCGGCGTAACCATACGATGTCTGATATCCATAGCCACCGTGGCCGTAGTTGTGTACAATGCTAGTCTTGTCATCCAGCTTCTCCTTCTCGATGCGAACACCTCCCTTGCGAGCTGGTCGCAGACCAACCGCGTGTCGAATCACGCTGAGGCCGGTAATTCCCTTGCCGCCCGCAATTTCAGGTCGAATCTTGATGATCCGCGACATGATTCGCGACGCTACGTTGGGGTCGGGATTGGTATCCCAGTTTCCGATGTCATATGTCCCGCCAAGGATGGTGCCTCCACCGGCTGCTCGCTGCATGAGATACAACTCCTCGCCGGGCCCGTCAGCAGAGCCGGAGCAAATCACCATGGGAGTCGACTCGTTACGGACGAGCGCAACCTGGCCGCGGATAGGATACATGGTCTTGTCCTCTACTCCGCCCAGCTTGAACGAGCCGAGCCCGGTTGTGTTTATGATGATTGAAGCCGGCTTTCCAGTGTGACTGAGGTTCTTCGCCTCGCTAATGTCGGCAACGATACCTCGCTTGAGCACTACGCCGTTGCGCAGTAGTTGGCCTGCCAGCCACTGCAGGTACATGGTTGTATTGATGCACACGCCGGTGAACTCGCATCCACCATCATATCCATCAGGCACTTGGCCCTTAGGGAGCTCGCGGAAGTCGTCAAAGATGTTCTTGTACCAAGGAGTGGGACTAAATGCGTGGACAGGGAAACCAGCTGGGTTCTTCAGATCATGCTCTCGGTGAAGGATATGGCACTCTATGGCAGTGTTTGTTAGCAAACCATAGACTAGAACACAGCTGATCACTGGGGGGAAACATACTCTGGAAGTGAATGCCCGCTTCGGGAGCCTCCTCAACAAGACGTTTCAGTTCTTTCCAAGTTTGAGACTCCCAACGTTTTTCTTTCTCTTCGGCCATGCTACAAAATTGTTAGCCTTTCTATCAGGAAATCAATTCGGTTGGAAAAACATACGGGACGATGTTTGCTCCAGCGAATGGGCTGGCATATTCTCCATCATAGTCACCGGGCATGTGCTTAGCGACGACGGTGATCTTGTATCCCTTCTTCCTGGAGAGGAGAAGCGCCGATGTCAATCCAGAGACACCGGCTCCGACGACGACAACAATGGTTTCGGCCATGAGGGATAGATGATGGACGTTGAAAGCAATCGTTTCTAAAGAAAGGCGAGCTGAGATACAAAGCTCTACGCACCCTCGATATCAGACAGTGCCAATCCCTTTGAATACTTTGGCTATCTTGATGGAGAGTCAGGGTCGGGAAAACCTTCCGCTCAAGCGGAGTTGGACCAGCGTTACTAAACAAGCCCCGCTCGATAGAGCTCCGAATGCGCTCTCCCAAGCCAAACCTCGCCTAAGATTAGTGGCTCCATATCTCAGGCGGTGGAATCTTGCATGAGAGATCTTGTCTCATCGAATACGGGGTGGCCACCCGAAGCCGTCAGCCGGTGAGCCATTCCTTATCCAATCCGCTCGACTTACTCCAACATTCTCAGAGCCTAAACCCCAGTCAATTCTATCAGTTCATGTATTACTTGACCACTATATAGCTTCGGGAGAAAGTTGACCCGCCATTTCGATGCCATTACCGCCATATCATCGCCTGACACATCTTGTTTCCCTAATCCAAAGAGGGTTTATTCAGCGTGGCAATATTGCTTATTTTCACGACTGCCCCTAAACTGTAGGCCATATGCTAATCATGTATCATAAGCCAAGCTAGAAAACCAACCCGTTGAATCCCAGCCATCCAGCGACTCTGCAATCGTCTCCAAGCGATGCGAGGGTGAATACAGATCCTCCGCTTCGGCACCCTCCAACCAATCCGGCAGAATAATAGACCCAGTATCAAATCCTTGCAAGTCAGACTGGGATGAGGCAATCTCCGTCTGGTCAACTGCCACGGCTGATTCCGTCTCTGCTTCTTCCTGGGGGTCATGCGACAAGTCCTGGCAATCCCCAAGCATCCGGGTCAATGTATTCAGGTCCATGAGCCTAGATTTGGCAGGTAGATTTCCTTTTGTAGCCATGATTTGAAGGCTTTCGGAAATAGCAGGTAACGACGGTCCATCATGCTTGAGCAGAGAAGAAAAGCATGCCTCGGCAATGGCGATAAAAGTACCAGCAGAGAAAGCCGCCTCCAACTCAAAGGCCAGAAATGATTCTATTTATTTTTGGTCAGTTTCTGTAACGAAGAGTGCCAATTTTGCATACCTACCTATTAAATGTTGCTGTTTCAATGCGTGAAGAATGGCACTTATTCGCTTCGCAGACTCGATTCCGATCTTCAGGATGTGGCGAATGGGCTCTTTGGAAAATAAGACGGCGACTCTATCCTCCGAGCTTTTACACCGCTTTTCCAGGAATAAATATAAAAAGGGTCTCGTAGCAACAACAATGCACTGTAGGTATGGACATGTCAGTAGCTGAAAAAAACGAATAGAATGGGATAGAACTACATGGTGGTAGAGTATGTTCAGATGGGCGGCGATGGGAGATATTCCTCCAACAGAACCCGGAGCAGGTAAGGCGAAATGTGTACGGAGCTCTTCAGACACGCTCGCGACGTTACGAAGCGCGTCTTGGATGCTTCCAATGAAGTTGAGGTGGCGTGTACTCCCACTTCGGTACACGGCTTCACGTTAAGTCAGCCAAGATTTGTCCTTGTCTTATTAGACCAGAGTACTTACTGTTCACCACATGCGCGAGTGCGCGGGATAAGCCAACCTGTATAGTCAGTGAGGCATTGCGTTGGTTTGAATCGGGAAATATAGGCAATGGGGTAGTTATGTCCTCGTCTCGCACTTGAATCGGGAGTCCTATCAAGCAGGATATCTGACGATCTATCACTACTATTGTCCACCATGCCTTCCGGCATCGTTGGATCAGCTCCTGATTCACTTGATCTGGTTGCATGGGAGTGTGCATTCCAGACCCGATGGCCATTCTTACGGCTTGGCCAATCTACATTCTGTCAGCATTCAGGTTGTAGAATCAAATACCAAGCCGTGGTAAAGGCGAAGGTGCTACCTTATCATACGCCAAGACTCTCGCGTCAAGAGCTTGATAGTAGAGTGCCATGCAACAGAGAATCTCGGTTGCAGTAACGAAGTCTCCAAGGAGGTAAGTAGTTTCCGGCAGTAGCTTTACAGCACGCACGAAGAGGTCCGACCCTGGCGGCTTCCCCTCTTGAACCTCGGAGACAACAAAAGCTTTGCCGAATGCGAGGAGAATGAGAAAGTGAATGTACCAAAGGTCCATTCTCGACATATTTTCGACGGGGTCAGAGTAAAATTGATACAGCTGGGGCATGAATGAAGTCTCATCAAACAGATGGTAGATCTGCCCTGCGTGGAATTTCACCGCGTTGAGGAGGAAGATGGCATGATCCAGAGAGGGCAAAGCATCAGTCTCCGATTCGATCGACGCCCTCCTCCCATCCCATCCAAGGTCAGATGCTTCGGCTGGGATGTAAGTCCCATATGGAAAGGGACCATTTGAGCAGCGGGCATGCAACAGTCGCAATACCCGCTGAGTATAAGAGTAGTTTGAGGAATGGCCAAGGTGATCTAGATCGAAGCAATATTAGCATACACATTATGTTTCACACCTCATAGCCCCATCAACTTACGAAAATCACCTCCCGGTCCTGCGACATGGGTCAAGAATTCGGGGGAATATACCGGGTTCGTTATCTCGTTATTCTCAACATGAATATGAGAAGTAGGTGTTGGCTCTTGAAGGCTGGCTTGATAACAATCAGTTTGGGCTTCAAAGTAAACCAACGCAAGGTAAGATCACGCTTACCTGAAGGATTATCTTGTTTCGCCTCCAGTAATGCCAACTTTGTCTGCAATTCGGAGAGGTACCTGAGATCACGACCATGGTCAGTCACCCTTCTTGTCACTTAGCCTTATTACATGGAAGTAAATTTTGGGTTACCTTTTTGAGACAAACACTTTCGGCTCCTCTAATTCGTACTCGCAGTTGAACCTACGGCGTCTACAGGCATCGCATGGGACCTTTCCACTGCATTTGATCTTGTGCCGACGACACCGAATACAACTTCACCAGAATCAGCATGGCCCAGAAAGAGAATATCACGGAATCACGGAAATGATCTTACGCATTGGAGCTTCTTCTCCTCGTAGTTTGTTCTTCTTCTGGACTCATGGTATATGGGCGTCTATACACGCGGCATCGTTGATATACGACCCAGAGTAGAGACGTTGTCCAGTGCAAGTTCAGGTCTCAAGCGTCAGTGGAGCATCTCCGCACTCTCCATGTTCCGTTCGTGTGGCTCGCCAGCTCTCATACCATTGCACAAGGTTTGGGCTGTCGCGTTATCGTTTTGTTGATCCACCATCTTCTGGAAGTGTGCCCAGAGCCAATGGAAGGGTGGGCCACTAGACAAACGTCAAATAGATTCACTGGCTCTGAGAGATAAGACGAACGCATGATTCGTGGCAGCATCAAGTCTCATACCCCCTCTGCCGATATCGGATATCATACCCGATCATCCTAGCAATGAGAGGCAATCGCAAGGAATTTACCAATTGTCTCGTGCTAAGATATGTTACTATTCCCCTTTCGACTTCACTTGCTCACCAGAGATAATTACGTTGCATTCTTAATTCAACATGATCACCGGACTTGTAACAGGTTTCCAGGATAAATTCAGACAATGTTCGCTCTCTTTATCCTTCTCGGCTTGTGGAGCCGACCTACCCTGTATCAACATTCCCCCCCACCCTTTCACATTCTGGGGAATAGATAACCGAGACAATAGACAATAAGGATCATGAAAACAATCAAGGGAAATGATACCTGGGGCTATATCGGGGGAGCGTAAACATCAATCTGATGTTAAGTGAGGTGTCTTCGTAGAACAAGGGGGAGTTTAACTGGAATAAATGTGAGACTAGACTTTGTCAGAGACTGTAAAACGAACACTCCACCTTGTTCACTCCTGCTGTATCATTCTTCTATGTAGGATGCTGCTATCGAACAAGTTTATGACGCATTTCGGAACCTTAAGTAAAATAATAAGGGAATAGCCAATTCCTCTCATGATATATTCTCTATGAAGATCTAAGTATGCTAGTATCGTTCAAGTACCAGGTCAAACTTTCCAATTCACCTGTTGGATATTTCTCCGCCAGAGTCCATCCATTCCCAAACCAACCAAAGGGATTTCCATCAAAGGACTCTGTTTCAAAGTCCTCCCATCTGACTGAGGCTAACGCTCGAAGACATTGAAGACTGCTTCCCGGCCACAAAGCTGTGACGCGGCCATTCATCTGCCCTTCCCGCGATGCACCAGGCCCGGCTGTCTTGTACCACGAGCTGCATTCTTCCGAAAACACGGTGCGCTTGAAGAATTCATCGCAGTAGTTCGTAAATGACTGGACTGCTTGCTTTTTCGGCTCCACCCGGCCAATATTGTCGTAGGCCATGCGAGCGAGGATCTGGCCAATGTAGACCTGTGTTTTCTCAATAATGAGTAACAGACTTCCGGCGCCAGGCATCGAGTTTGGGCCCATTGACTGGAAGAAGTTGGGGAAGCCGTCAGTACAAACGCTGAGATAAGTTTCAGGACGACCCTCGAATCGTTTTCTGAGGTTGACGCCACCTTTTCCATAAATCGGGAAACTGCGGTTGGCTGGAGAAGTCTGAAATCCGGTGGCGCAGATGATCACATCGGTGTTATGTCTGACTCCGTCCGTGGTTATAACACCATTCTCGTCAATCCGATCGATCCCACATGTGATTGTGTCTACTTTGGGGGACGCCAAAGCTTCCAAGTAGCCAGGGCCGGGTGACATGCGTTTGCAATATGGCGAATACTTGGGTTGAAGTATATCGTAGATTTCCGGTTTCCCTTGCAGTCGTTTCTTCATATTCTCTTCAACGCGTAATCGAGTTTCCACCTGTAACTTCGAATCTTTGAAGATGACATTGAACTTGTTGTTAATATCGTATTCAATGCCCCGGCGATACTTGAGATAAGCCTCGCGGTCGTTTTCCCACAATTTCTTTTCTTCTTCTGTGTACTCAAAGTTTCCGTCATTCTCTTCTATTCTTCTCCCCATGCTGTCTCCGCCGAAGAGACCCGCGATCCATGATCGACCACGGACATAGTGGTCCATCCGCTTGACTTGTGGAAGAATAGAAGGCACAATCTGAAGTCCACTACTCCCAGCTCCAATCACAGCAACAGATTTATCCTGTGGCCATTAATGTTAGAGTGAATTCTCTGATATTAAAGATTAGAAATCGGTGGTACCTTTAGGTCAATGCTGGGATCCCAATTTGCGCTGTGCAAAATGTCTCCCTTGAATGAATGAAGCCCAGGGATGCTTGGCCACTTCCACTCATTGAGAACGCCCTCACCCGTGACAAGGACATCAGCTTGATCCTCGTAGCTATCACCGGTGGCAAGATCCTGAAGCTGCACGAACCACTTGCCAGCCGTCTCACTCCATCGAGCGGCCGTGCACTTTTGACGAAACCGCATGTACTTTCTGACATCGTACTTCTTTGCGATGGTCTTCCAGTACTCGAGAATTTCAGACGCCGATGCAAAAAAGGAGCTCCAATTGGGCGAAGACTCGTATGAGAGCTGGTATACGTGCGCTGGGACATCTGAAATCATGATGTTAGATGCGAAGTAGAGGAAAGTTATTCGCACTGTTAATTTGATAACTCACCACAAGCACAACCCGGGTATCTTTCATCCCTCATATTAGCGTGATATTTCTTGGTATTGGGTGAAGAAGAAACGGGAACTAAGTACCTGTTCTCGAACCATGTGCCGCCAAGCTCTTCATTTTTCTCATAGATTACCAAGTCCAACTCGGGTACTCGCTTCTTGAATTCAATAGCGCCCGTGATTCCAGAGATTCCAGCGCCGATGTAGATGACCTTGAGGGGCCTTGCTTGGTCCATACAGCGCTGTGATATCCACACATCGGGGCTTTCTTGGTTCAACGTAGTAGTGTGGGACTCTGGAACATGATGCCCATTCTCGATGGGTGTCGTATCATGGTGAAAGATGGACTTGCCATTCGCCTTGGGCGACTGTGGCTCCGGGCTGTTACTGAGAAAGTGTGGCATATTGGCACAAGATGGGTTTTATTTGTTTTGGGTGACTGAAGGACACTGTAGCACCGGAAGAAGGGCACATAGAGTGATTATATTCATTGACTGCTGCTAGTGGATGGACCAGAGAAGACCAGAACGTCTCACATCCTAGGTGAAACACCAATACCAATATCGACTATCGCAATTCTTAGATTGGGCGTCCCTCCCCGCATTTGGCGCTTTCTGTTCCCGAATACCGCATAGTGCTGTTATCTGTCCCATCTCTATCTGACTCTCCTCGAATCAGTGTGAATCGCAACTCCTTACCGAACACATCGGAAACAATATCCGACTTATTGTCTTGGAATGTGGGGGTCGTCGTTCGCGCGTGATGCCGCCAACTCGTCTTCTAACCCAGATCAGAAACCGATTGTGGGGATTCGGTAACTGTATCCTGCTTGTTCAATGTGAAGTCACCCCGACACTCGCTGTGAGTCGAAATATGAGCCAAGTTTTGGTCCTAGACAGGAGTTCCCCCAGGTACTCGGTTTTTTTACCCGTTATGTACAGCTGATGATAAGCTCCATTACCCTTCAGTCTAGCGTGCAGTTTTCTTGAGTAGTCTTAGCCGTGAGTTTCCAGTCCTCCAACATATGGTCTTCTCAGATGAGCCACACTGTCTAGAAGCCGAAGATCGGTGGTGTGTAGGTTGGCAAGAACAGGCCCCTTCTTATTAAGCCAGTATTTCCCCGCAGTTCCAAACCATTGCCATGTTATCATCTTCACGAAATCTAAGCTGTTCTCTACCCGTCCCCCAGCCACCAGAATGCTATTTCCAGAGCCTATCCTCTATGATATTAAGCCTACGGCTTTAATACCAAACTCTCTTAATCCACTCCTTCTGTATAAAGGCGTGTTCCTCAAGGATGGCAAAGTCGACGCCGTCCGTGCACTTGACACTTTCAGATCGAATGGATGGGACGTTCAATGGGTGACAAGATATGGTCGCCAACAACGATCACACTACCATGCTTATACCCATGAAATGATGATTGTCCTCTCCGGACCAGGGATCATTCGCTGGGGCTCAGCAGACCTCTCCGATGATCCGGAAGAGCACACTTACGGAGATGCCTACGAAAAGTCCGGCGTGGAAGTTGAAGTGGAGCCTGGCGATGTTTTTGTCATTCCAGCCGGTGTGGCACACAAGTCCTACAATCCACAGGCCGAAGGTGAAGCATTTGGGGTCTTAACAGGTTCAGCGCGCGGGATTGAGTCTTTCAAGCCACGGGAAAAGGTGGCAGAGCTACCATTGCACGGATTCATGATGATGGGTGCCTATCCTGTGGGCAACAGCTGGAACTGGGGCGAGGGAGGCGATGACATTGGCAACTATCACAAAATTTGGAACATTCCGAACCCCAAGTTTGATCCTCTTGTTGGCGCCAATGGCGGTATTCATAAATATTGGAAGCAGCAGACATACGAGAGCAAGTTGTGATACATGTAGCTTCACATTCAATCCCCAGAAGATTTGACAAATGGTAATTCTGATGGACAGTACATTATTTTAAATATGAGCACATTTTAATGACACTCACTGTTGAAGCAAACGCCTTTTCTAGGGTATTCGAGACCAGACTATATTAACTTGAAAGTCCTATATTAGATACACATCAAACCCCAAAGAAGTCACTAGCCATGGCATCATTGATGAAACTTTCCCAAAGGTCCTGGCTATATGGGAAGATAATGTGATGGGGATCAGTAGCATCCATGTTGAGGTAATTCTCGTCCGCGACAGTCACGCAACGTATAAGATTCCCAATTTCCGCCTCCAAGTCCACAGAGCACTCCGAAGTGGCTTCTAATTCCATCATGGCGCCGAGTAGCCTGACACCTCGACGGGCTAGAGAGCTTCTCTGCTCCTCGTGGCTGATTATTTCTTTCCCAAGCTGCAGATAGCGACGGATCTTGACCCAGTCGTGCATAAGGGTGTTCTCGGACTTGAACAACAAGGCAAAGGCGAGAAAAATGCAGCAACTAATAACGTGCGTCAATGTAGTCCACATCCTGCGTGCAATCCGTGACTGAAGAGTGTCTGGCCAATCGATGATAGCAGCGATACTACGCTCAGCAATAGAGACGCATGAAAACTGAGGGAAGCGATAGTTAGAGACACTGAGAGAAACTGATGAGATTCAGATCATGTTACCTGCGAGAATGCATAACGCCGGTCTCGGAAACCGGAGAGCTGGAAATGACGATGTACGCCGAGCACCTAGGATAGTGGTGGTCCATGTTAGAATATCATAAGAAGTTTTTATCCTCCCAAACAGGGAACTAACTTACTTTGTGGGCAGTGCATACAAGGATAAGGCCTGGCATTAAGCCGATGGGAAGTCCATCGGCAGTTGGGACATCTTGTGGCATATCAACCTCTCGCAAAGAAGGCGGAAGGGACACGTAGCTGGCCTTTATTTCCTCATCAGCCCGTATCACCTCCTCATATAGCTTAGGGATACTCTCTGGTGAATTGCCCGGATGTCCTGTCTTGAACATGCGATCATGATGTTTCCAAATAAGAACGGAGACTGCACGGAGAGTCAGCAGAGTTTCGATGGCGAGGTAAGATTGTTTTACAGTGATTGAGGTAATTGGCCCAACTAGTTGAAGTATAGGCCTCGTCCATATTCGGAGTCCCGTCGCTCGCCAGCTGTTGCGCAGCTACAGGCTGGTTGGTCGGCATGGGAGTACTGAACTGACTTGGGTGTACCTGGCAAGTGTTTTGGAACGGTATTTGGTACCAATCATAGCGCACTAGAAACCACCAGATCCCTTTCTTCAGTTCCCGGTCAGTATTGGCTGATTCATTGATACTGGAGGTGCTTCCTTCAGAAATGGCGCGATCTGGGCCGAGACGGTGGAGGCCCAAGCACTGAGCGATTCGAATAGCCGTTGAGATGAGAATGCAGATGAGATCCGACTTGTCGAAATGATGTGCCACTTGTAGGAGAATACAGATTGCTTGGACTGAATATATACTGTGGTCATCCATGAAGTTGGCTCGGAAGAGCACTTCGATGCTCTTGTTGAAAAGCACAAAGGACGCATCTGCGTTGGCTTGATAAGCCATGTTAACGTCAAAGAACTACCTTACCTCCATAGCCAAATTTTAGGAAACATACCATTAACCGGCTGCGGCAGCGAGGACAAGTGCTGATCATCAATGTGGTACATTGTTTGCTGTAAACTGTTATCAGCATTCGTTCTCGACATGGGCAGGCTATAAAGCACTTACAGAGAGGATTGCATAGTACAATGCCAGCCAAGACCTGTTGCACTCTCGTCTCACAAGGTTTTCTTCAAACTCACGTCGGAATGTGGGCATATGAACTGCGCAGTGCATCCAGGAGAGCTGGGACTGGTGAAGGGACAGAAGTGTTCGAGAATTCTGTTCCGTGAAGAATAAATCCCATCGCTCTTCTACGTTGCTTGAATTGAGTGACAGTGGTGACTCCGCCGTATCTTGCCTGCCAGCAAATTGGTTGATGACGTTCCGACGACCATGAGTGAGAAACTCCAGTGCTGCCGCTCTATCGCTGGTTAGGCGGCTATCAGCCGCCGGGGGGGAGGTCAATGTCTGTTGGCGTCCTTGGCCGGAGCGATCAGACAAGACATGCTCCTGGACAGGACCCCTTGGCTCGGGATAAAGAACGGCAGAAGCACCTTCAACAACAAGGTTGTTGCTGATAGCCTCAGACGAGGAATAGGGGTCCCCCGGGGGCACATCTCTGGTTTGGTCTGAGTCCGACAGGCTGGGTAAGGGGCTATTGTTGCCATTCTCTAAACCAGTGGTATCTGCATCATGTCCTCTCTTCCGGGTGACGACAACAACCTGCTCTCTTTGGCAAGACGAGGCCCTGTTGAGTCGTACGCATGCTGTGCAGGGTATTGTCTTGGAACACCGGATCTTACGCCGTGCACATGCCGTACAAGCACGCACGCTTCTCTGGCTGCTTCTGACGGGCGTCCCAGTCGACATTTTGGCAGCAAAAGGATGAGGCTGGAAGCACGGCCGTGTTGAGATGACAAGAGAGGGGGATGGTGGAGAAACGGGCTTCGAGGTGGGCACTGCTCCAAATTAACCTTGCTAACTTCTCGGCCGAGTTGACTCAGAACCCCTTAGCCGACACCAAATTGCCGGTTTCGCTGGCTTCGGAAGTTGAGCCGAACCTGAGGCTTAGGGCCTCGACTGGTAGTCTCATATTCGTTTGATCACGAGGATGAGGTTAGCATTGTCATAGAAGTTGAATAGAGAATGTTTACGTGCGCAGTGGCATAATTTGAAATAGATTGGGGGAAATTCTCCTAGCGGGTCATACGCGCGGAGAACATCTTGAACCGATAAACAAGAAGAGTTGAGTCGTAGCCCGCCTCTCGCCCACGTCGGCCGAGGTTTCATTATGGCTGCTCCCTCAGCGGAACTGCGTTGTGTCCACAGTAACCTAGGGAGTTGATAAATAGACCGGTTGATAAATCATTGACTAGTTCATCTATGGAAACCTGAGCTCTAACCGTATCCAACGACTCGCCCGAGCTGTTTGTGGTCCACCGCGCGCGGACAACGACCGTTGGCTAGCCCTCCCTCGCCTTCCTGTACTATCTACACTCACTCTTCTATCGCTTTTCGATCACTTGCGTGGATCAACGGAGTATAAGCGAGTGCTTTTAGTCGGTTTAATTGGCCCCTATCGACACAATCTTATTTTCGTTCTTGTCATTGCATCATCTCCCCCAATGACGAGCAAGAAAATGTTTGTGAAATCGCCGATATTGGTTGGTGTCAAGAGGTAAATCATATACTCCCTCTTTCCAGGCAGATCCAGCGGCTAACTATACTAAACAGACAGCACGGCCAAGAGGGGTCACTGCCAGAGACACAAACATCATCCGCCTCGGATTCGGATCCTGAAGTCCTCCAGGTGGGCTGGGACGGTGGTGATGATGATCCTTTGTCCCCACGCAGCTTCAGCAAGTCGAAGAAATGGATGATAGTAGCCACCGTCTCTATGGCATGCTTTTGTGTGTAAGAATGGCCTGTCCATAGGAGCTCGTAATGGAGTAAACAACGTTTGAGCACTGACATTTTTGGATGCAGCACAGCAGCGAGTTCCGTCTACACTTCCACATACGAGCGGATGGAAGAGTCATTTGGCAACTCGAGGAAAGTCTCGGTCCTAGGTCTCTCCCTATTCGTTTTAGGGATCGGCTGTGGCCCTCTCTTCTTTAGCCCCCTAAGCGAGTTCTTTGGCCGCCGTCCAGTATACCTAGTCGCATGGAGCCTGTATGTGATTTGGACCATCCCCCAGGCTGTAGCCAGTAATATTGCCACCATGCTAGTCGCGAGATTTCTTGCAGCTTTCTCAGGAAGCACATTTCTAGCAGTTGCAGGCGGAACGGTGGGTGACCTGTTTTCCAAAGATCAACTCCAATATCCAATGGCTATCTTTACAGTATCGCCTTTCATCGGACCTTGCATAGGGCCCATCATCGGCGGCTTTATAAATTATAATGCGCACTGGAGGTGGACGTACTACGTCATGTTGATGTGGTCCTTTGCCCTACTAATGGCTATTGCATTTCTAGTCCCTGAAACATTCCGTGGGTTCCTGAACATTGCCTAGAGAATACCATGGTTCTATGTGCTGACGTCTATGCAGATCCCGCTGTTTTACGGCAGAAAGCTAAGATGTTGCGACAATCTACTGGTGACTCGCGGTGGAGAGCTCCCATCGAAGAACAAGACAAATCGATTGTGGTTGCTGTTAGCAGGTCTTTGAAACGACCATTCCAACTGCTCATTTTTGAACCAATGTGCCTCAGTCTTTGCATATTTTCAGCACTGCTTCTAGGAATTCTCTATTTGTTCTTCGGAGCCTTTCCTCTTATCTTTCATACTCACCACCAGTTCAACCTTTGGCAGGTCGGACTCTCGTTCATTGGTATAGGTGTTGGGCTTATCGTTGGGGTTCTCACTGACCCTGTATGGGCTCGCATCCGTCTCTATTACGTGTCTAAACTTGCAGAAAGTACTGGGAAACCAGGTGCCGGAGAGCCAGAATTTCGGCTGCCTCCAGCCATCTTTGGGTCTCTGATCGTCCCGCTTGGTCTGTTCATGTTTGCTTGGACGACCTATCCTTCGATTCATTGGATAGTTCCCATCATTGGCTCAGGTATCTTTGGCATGGGGTGAGTGCGGCCTACAGAGGAAGCCAGCATGATTTCAAATATTTAAGGACGTATTTGACATTGGCAACATGGCTAACTACTAGTGAATAGGAACATCCTTGTGTTTACGGGGATATTTGCATTCTTGGTAACAACACTCCATTCTGCTCCTCTTGATTCAATCTTATTGACTACGACAAGGTTGACGCATACCCAGACTATGCCGCCAGTGCATTGGCAGCCAATGCCTGCGTACGTTGTGTATTCGCCGGTATGTTTCCAGTGACAGCCTCCAGATTAAGTTCGGTTTATGGTATGCTAATAGATGGACAGCCGCATTCCCCCTTTTCGGGAACGAAATGTACCTTGTTCTTGGATTCCAGTGGGCGTCCTCGTTACTGGCATTTCTCACTTTGGCCATGGTGCCATTCCCATTCTTATTCTTCAAGTATGGGAAAAGAATTAGAAGTAAAAGTCGAATGGCCAAAAATTGAAAGGAGGCAGATCTGACTGAGATGGTGCCGGTGAGAGACGCTTTGAGATATATCTTAGAACATAAATTGTTGTCCTTACATAAACGGAGTACTGTTGGATGAATATTTTTGGTAGCTTATAAAGGTTAAATATAAAAAATTCTATGTTGTATTGACAATTTTGTTATGATGGTACGTGACATACTCCCTCCTTGACTGAGCATTTTCATTCTTCATCATCTACTTCTACACTCATAAAAGCAATCGCAGTCATCTTTTCATCACAATAATAAGTCTGATTGCTGTTCATGACACAAACTAAATGAGCTTAGCTGCCATCGTTATTCTACAATGACAGTAACTTCTGCACTGATATTTCGAGAGCTTGTGCCTACATAACATGTATATGTTCCCGGATCAACTCTCCACCTCCCGCCTGGGTATGGACCCTCGCGATCGTGAACGTCAAACCATGACACAGAGTCGGCACCGAGCTCGAAGCTAACAGACTTGGTAGTTCCCTTTTCCACAAATACTTTGGCGAAGCCTACAAGCGAGCGCGGTGTCGACTGTCTACCTTTCTCTTGTATCACGGGCGAGCTTCCGAGATATACTTGCACTACTTCTGCTCCATCGTGGCTCCCAACGTTGCTGACATTTGCACGGATAACCGCCTTGGCATCTTCACTGGCGCGTATGATGCCTTGGACACTCACTTGGGAGATTTCGAATTTCGTGTACGACAGCCCGAACCCAAATGGCCAGAGTGGTTCGATCTTCTTTGCGTCAAACCATCTATATCCCACTAAGATCCCCTCTCCGTACTCTGCAAAGTCGTTTTCGACGTCGCCAGGGAACCAAGCATGCGAGCCATGGTCTTCTAGCGCTCTCGGGAATGTGATTGGAAGCTTCCCACTGGGGTTCACCTTGCCTAGCAGGATGTCTGCTAGAGCGTTACCGTTCTCCTGGCCCTGATACCAGGCATGGACGATAGCGGGAGACTGGTCTGCCCAGGACATGTCGATCGCGCTCGCCGACTGCGTAACCACGACCACGTTCTTGTTCGCCTTGCAAACTGCTTCAACGAGCTCGTTGGTCCGTCTTGGGAGAAGCAGAGATTTCCGATCGATCCCTTCCTTTTCGGTGTCATTGTTGTGACCGACGACAAGGACGACGACATCTGCATCCGATGCGTTACGGATGGCTTCTTCGAAAAGACCTTGCTCATCGATGCGGTGCTGAATCCCAACTCTGAGCCCCGAGAGAGTATGGAACAAGGTGTTGTCATGCGGCGGAATGGGAGGCGGAACGACTATATTGTCCACTCGGAAATCATAGTTGCGTCCAGCCTCGAGCCAGAGCTCACCAAGACGATTGGCGCTGCCACAGTTCATAAAGGAGCCGCCAAGCTCAGTCCACTCGAAGTTGTCGATGAGGAGCTGATCATCGATGAAAAGCTTTGCCTTGCCCGTATTCGACAAGGAAAAGTCAAAGAGCCCCGATGTCGTCGGGGTGAGGACGCCACTGAGCCTGTAGCAATGCGGCTGTCCTCGAAGCTCCTCAGGGGTGTCTCCGTCGCTCATCATAAACACCACCGAGTTGTTCCAATGCGAGGACCCGACAACCTCCCCTTGGAATTCGTGGCCCTTGAAGAATTCGACGCGAACACCAACCTGTGCGCCATCGGGTGTGCGAAGCATGCCTCCTGGAAGTGTAGGCTGCAGGTTGGTCAGAATTCCTTGAGAAAACGAGCTCTTTAGCGAGGGATTGGCCTCGAGTGCCATTTGGCTGAGTGACTCATAAGGAGTGGTGATGTAGTATGGATTCACTGCGGCGCTTCCAGTTCCTCCGGTTGTTGGTTTTTGAGCATTCGGGCCAATAATCGCCAGGCTGTTATACCTTTCTGGCCTCAGAGGAAGAATATCATTGTCGTTTTTGAGAAGAACAATGGAGCCGGAAGCTGCCTCTCGGGTTGTTTGGCGGAACTCTGGTAGATCTGAATTCTTTTCAGCGTCGGCTATGGCTTCTTCTGCGTCCAAGAGCTTGGCTCGATCCAAGAGCTCCAGTAGTCTTCTGACCGAAGCGTCAATATGATCCTTCTCTAACACCTTTCCCAGGCGAACAGCCTCAAGAAGCTGGACACCGTACCGAATCCCAGGGCCGGGCATCTCAAGATCCGTGCCAGCGATGATGCTCTTCACGGTGTCGTTTGTGCCACCCCAATCGCTGACAACTAATCCATCGAATCCCCATTCACTCCTGAGAACCTGTTGCAGTAGAAACTGGCTGCAATCGGCATGCTCACCGTTGATTTTCGGATAGGCTGCCATGGCTGTCCAAGGCTTGCTAAGCCGAACCGCCAACTCGAAAGGCTTGAGGTAGATCTCGCGTAGAGTCCTCTCATCAATCTGTTGATCCATGTTGAAGCGCCTTGTCTCCATATCGTTTGCAACAAAGTGTTTGATGCATGCACCGACGCCATGCTTCTGCACGCCATTGACATAGCTGGAAGCGAGAATTGCGCTCAGGAAGGGATCCTCCCCAAAGTTCTCAAAGTTGCGCCCTCCAAGCGGCGACCGGCTGATGTTCATGGTCGGAGCCAAGAGCACATGGGAGTTCTTGCTCCGTGTCTCGGCGCCTAGGATATCTCCGATACGCTCTACAATTGCAGGGTCGAACGTAGCCGCGAGCGAGATACCGCAGGGGATGTACGTCGTGTGAGTGCCGTCTGTCCATGTTGAGCCTCGCACACCCGCGGGCCCATCTGTCATCTTCAGACTCTTGATGCCCAGGCGATCAATGTTGAGGGTCTCCCACATGTTCTTCCCGGCCAGGAAAGAGCATTTTTCCTCGAGGGTGAGGCTACCAAGAATAGACTCGATTCTGCTGTTTCGCCCCATTGTGACTTGTTTGAGAGCCGAGGATGATTGCCCAACTCGTGACCAAGGCTCTGCCGATAATTGAAATATCGATGACTAGTCCAGATTTTTGTGATCAGGTGCCATTATTTGTACACCGATACTGCAAACGTGGAATGGCTTTGTCAATATGATGCTTGTAATGGTCACATAAAAACGCAACCTCTCCACCAACCTGAACACGGCCGAGGTTTCCTCCCCAATTTCGACTTGGGAAAATTGCCTTGGGGAAAGGAGGGGATATTCACAGGGAAGTTGATCGCGTGGTCCCCCTTTTGACCAATGACTACCGATAAACTCTGCCTGTGACCAAGCCAAACCCCATCAACCACCATCTCGGCCGTGCGCTAAGTGAGAACTCCACCACTTTACAACACGGCCGAGCGACAACCGTGAATCGCTAGCCAAGCCTGGGGAGGAGGGGCTGCAAGGGTCTTCCTACTTGCGGGGACCCCAAAGAGTTTGTGGGATTGAAGCATAAATATTCCCGCCATGCCTCAGTCGAAGAAGAGGAGAGATCGTCACTATCTTTCCCCCCTCAGTCTTCTGAAAGTCTAACGCATTTGCATTCAAATTATATTGAACCCTTCAGCAAGGGCTAGCCAAGATGTTCAGTCGGCTCCCTCAGGCGGCCCGGATGGGCATGACAACAGCTCTCGTCATCTCAGCCTGTGTCGTCGATTCCGTGACAATCGCCTATGACGGCTCCGTCATGGGTTCCGTCAACGTCATGCCGAGTTACAAAAGCTATTTCCAGATCACGACGACAACCAAGGCTGTCAACTCCACAGCCACCCACTTAGGCGCCATCCTCATGGCCTTCTTTGCCGGCTTCATCGTTGACAAGCGCGGGCGAAGGGAGAGCATATTCGTCAGTGCTGTCATCAATATCATTGGAGCCGTCATCAGTGGCAGCGCGCAGAATATCGCCATGTTCATCGCCGGCCGAATGATCATCGGGATCGGTGTCGGACTTGCTCAGACCGCCGCCGGAACCTATGTGTCTGAGACAACAGCTCCTAAGATACGCGCCTTCGCGCTTGGGATGTATTATTCATGCTGGGCTGTGGGTAGTTTCCTTGCTGCCGGCATTTCATATGGCGTAAGTTCAATACCTTTCCCCAATTTCCTTTCAGGGGTCGTGCTTCACTACACTGAATTGTACATCACTCCAAGGAAGAAGTGAGGCTGATCGCATATAGTGCTCTCAACTTCACCCGTCAGATTGGGCTTGGCGAATTCCTTCCTTCTTCCAAGGATTCGCGCCTCTTCTAATCCTCGTCATCGTCCCATTTCTGCCCGAGTCCCCTCGTTGGCTCATTGCTCACGACCGCCTCGATGAGGGCCTCAGCGTCATTGCACGCATAAATGCTGGGACAATCGACGACCCTACTGTGCAACTCCAGTACCGGGAGATTATCGACACACTCAACTACGAAAAAACAGAGGGGAAGAGCCTCGCCTTCCAGGAGATCTTCCGAAACGCGCCCAACCGAAAGCGACTGATGTTGGCTCTCTCACTAGCGCCTCTCACAATGTTGACCGGTTCAAATGTGATCACGTATTATTACGGAGATATGCTTTCCCAAGCTGGCATCACCTCTTCTCACACGCAGATGGAGATCAACCTGATTCTGTCGGCTTGGCAGTTCGTCATTGCGGTATCAGGCTCGTTGCTCGCCGAGAAGCTTGGCAGAAGGGTCCTCTGCCTTTGCTCCTTAGGACTCTGCACCGCAATGTTTTACCTCGTCGGGGGTCTCACTTCTCTCTACGGCTCCGGGGGCAGCCAGTCCGGCGTCTACGGCACTGTTGCTGCAATTTTCCTCTATCTCGGCTCCTACTCCTTTGGCCTGACTCCGTTGACAAACATGTACCCCCCTGAGGTGCTCTCGTATAATCTTCGAGCCACGGGCATGGGATTGTTCACAGTCCTCGCTAAGGCGTGTGGTATTTTTGTGACTATGGTCTTTCCATTCATGTTCAAGTCACTCGGGTGGAAAACATATATGATTAACGCGAGCTGGAATGTTGCTTTCTTCGTTTTTGTTTACTTCTTTTGGGTGGAGACCAAGGGGAAGACTCTGGAGGAAATCGATGTGCTGTTCGATGGGGTCAAGCACTCCGATGCACCGGACCTAAATGCCGTGGATGCTGACGAGAAGGCAATCGAAACTATGGTTGAGCGTGTTTAATTAGAGGACATATCCTCGAAAGATGAAGGGGTATGGGTGATTAAGCTGGACGAAACCATATTTCATATTTGGTTTATAAATGGTCCATCCAATCCCGCTAGGTCATAATTCATCAGCAGACCGTTATCAGAAGATATAACGCCATCTTTCTTGTGCAAAAGTAAAATTGGTGTAGTGAAGATGCAGGACGTGCAAAGCTAATACAAGATTGATGCTAAGCTGATGCGCAGCTGATGCAGTGCAGATGCAGTGCAGATGCACTACGGTTCAGCTCAAGATATGAGAGGGAAGGTGTAGGGAACTTATGGTTCCCACACAAGCTTGCTATCGGAGAGACACTACACAAATCATAGTGACTACCACTGCGCTGATGAAACTTCGAGTACAGGATAAAGAGAATCAATGGAAGAGGCCAGATCCGGCATCTCTACACGGGGAATACGAAAGTCTGCCACCTATAAAGTACCAGATATCTACCTTGCCATCCTCAGAAAACTTTGTCTCTATCTTTTATTCTTTTCCTACAGTTATGAATAAATCCTCTAGCTATTCTTCTCCCTTATGTCCTTTTTTGTTTTGATATAAACTTCCCAAAGCTGATCCATAACCTAGTTGCAAACCCTATCCATGTCCCACCTTAGAAAGTTAGCACACACGCTATGAAGGGTACATTATGGTATAGAGTCATCGTCTCATGATTTCTCCGCGCTAAAATCTCTATCTAACTTCAGCTTAGCATCGTTCATTAACTCAATTTGCTCCGTCTATATACCTGAAGGTAATCCTGCAACCACCTTACAAGGGTTCGAGTGCAGAACCTATAATATACTATGTGTAAACAATAGACACAAAGAGGTACGCTAACACCTGCGGTATCAGCAATATACCGAACCAGCAAATCAACGACCACTTCTTCTCTTTCAATTCCTCAGACCCGTGGCTGGCATCAGTATGCACCACGTCCTCGTTGATTTCCCAAGCAGCTTCTGCCGCGCTTTCCTGATACTCTGATCGAACCAGCGTTCGCCGTGCTGCTCGGGCGACTCGCCGCCCTCGAATGACCTCCAGCACCCACACACAGCCTAGCAGACAGGTCTGTAACACGGCAAAGACGAATACTTTCTGGTCGTCAGGCTGACCAATGATTTCGATGGTCAGCTTCCCGGCGCCCCATCCGGCGAGTGACAGTGTAAGATAAGTTATAAAGCCACTCCACGAGATCGTGTGGTGGACGATCCAGATCCACAAGACTAATGTTGTCAAGCTTTTCGTTAGTCTGATGTGCTTAAAGGTCGGTGCTGTCGATCTCGGGAAACTTACGGGGTAACACAAGTAGCTGAGCAGATGCCATGGCAGGCCAAAGAAACGCTCTGCGGTCAACTATCGAGTATTCGTACAAACCCAGGATGCCGATTGTGCTGCAGCCCATCACAACGATTTCTGATCTCAAAATGTATCATCCCTTGGTTAACAGAGTTCCTGAACAAGGCTTTCTCATGAATGACTACTCACGGATGAGATGCGGATACAGCCATAGTAGAATGGTGATAACGAGCATGAGGAGAGTGTAAAAAATGCTGAGCCTGTTTTCCGGTTCGCGGAGGAGCATGTTTAAGGTGAAATGGCTGTTCGACTCAAGGAATAAGTGATATGTATTGAACAAAACCCCGGAGATAATACTGTTCAAGACTGTAGCCATGATGAAGAGAAGTAGGGAGATTATCGTGACACTCCGCGATAACTTGTAGCCGGCATTTGATTAGCATCGCGAGTACAGACAACAGTGATCTTTCAAAGTAACATATGGGGGAATGCAAGAGAGTAGATGAACTCACGTCTTGGCGTGCCCAACGAGGGACATGATCACGCCCCTTGGCGGAGAATTTGTGCCGAGCTGAGCGGCGAGCCAAAGACACACCCTCAAAACTGTTGGTCCATGGTTTTACTTCCGGCAAATCGAGCAGCGTGGTGCTGAAGAGAGCAAAGATGGATACGAAAAAGGCACTGGCACTGGTTGTTCTTGGCTGGGTCGTGTCTATGAACATGACTGTCGAAGTGAAAAACAGCAGTCGAAAAACAGTCTCCCCGATCGAGTGCCATGATATTGTGTGGAGAATCATATAAGGGAGAAACAGTCCAACTGCTAAGCCTTGGAATGCTGTAATAAACGTAATTCGTTCCTCCATCGTCTTAGCCATGGACAATGATTGGAGAGCAGCTGAACGTCAAGGTTAGAAGAATGCGCGATAAGGACAGTATTCGTAGCTGGTAAAGTGTGGCTTGGATATACCTTGCAAATATACCGTGGGGGCAACGGCCCTGGACAAGAGGCGCTTATGGAGGAGGAAAAGCACAATTGGCTGAGCGAGAATGAAGCCGGAGAAGAACAAAACATAAGGGGTCCCCTCAGCAACTCCGGAGAGCTGTATGCTTTTGTATTGAGGCGAAGAAATCTAGGCGTCTTAGTTAATGACTGAACTATCGGATGATTTGCCCTTCTTGCGTAGGGCAAGACTTACACATTGCATTATAGAAAATACCAGCTCCGGCTTCCACTCTCTGCTCTTTGTCGAGGCCAGCCCATCCAAGCTTGACTTGATTGCATTCTCATCAAGGGGGGCCTCGGTGAGTTTCAAGGGGAATGGCTCAAGTGAGAGCTTGACCGATCTGACTGATTTCATTTGCTGACGCACACATTCCTCCACCCGCAGCGTCTCCTCGCGATGATAGACATCGGTTTCGTGGTTGTAGGAGCAGAGAATCGCCCGGTGTCCGGCAGCATCTTCTCCAGCGAGCATCATCGCAACGGGAGGAGCGGCGCAGTTTATCACCCTGAGAGTCTGCGCACAAGTGTCTATTAACGTGAAGGTGAACTTTCGGGGGGACTGAATGGCAGTCTCTGAGTTGAAGGTCGTCGTTGATGGAATCTGTGTGAGTTTTCCACAATGATAGCCGTAGATGTGTCGCTCAGCGGTTGCGCAATCTAAAACACCTTCCACCCCGACCAACCGGGCACTTCTCAGCCCCTTGCGTCTAATTTTCCATTCGTAAAGAAGGAACGCAGGCAAGGTTACTGGCGTGAAAATCGCTTGGGCGAAAAATAGCTGAACAAGGAATCGAGGAATATCATTTTGAAGTGCTTGGCTTCGTTCAACGGTAGATACGAGCAAGTAGACAATCCCATACCATGTGCACAACGGGAAAAAGAGGAAAAAGACAAATATAATCTCTGGAAAGATCGGTAGTCTTTCCTGAAAGATAGACTTTTCGATCCTGTCCCAGCAAATAGGTGCAGCATGGATGTTTTGAACCTCGATGGCGTTCGACCCAGCAACGTCGACCGCATCACAGCCAGGACGGAAATTATTTAGTTTCACACCCCAGTAATCTGTTGCATCTGACCACTGAGCTTCTGGTTGTGCGGGTGCGACGCAAAATAAACGACTCAGGAGACTGCTACCCTCCACGGCCAGGGCGAGACGGGCAAAGGCTCGAAATCCAGAGTCAGTCTGATTCACCACCGGTCTCTGGCTGTATGGGAAGAGCCCCATGACAGCATACGCGATGTCTCCCTGGCTGAACTGATCTGTCTTTCGCCGAGCGAAACACTCCAGAGCAATACTGATCAGCTGCGTCGGAGGGAGAATAGCTGAGCCCTCATAGTGATTCACCAGTTCTTTAACAGACTCGGCATCATCCCAAGCTCTCTCAGCAAAGTTCCGCTTCGCTAGAGATTTGGGCTCACTCATATCATCGGCCACATAAAGCTTGATGCGGTATTCACTCGGGCAGAGGAGGAGCTCAGGCAATGTCCATAAGCGTGAGCCCCATTGACGCAGCCATGTGGTGGCATGCTCTGTGCTACCCAAGGGAGCGTTTTCATCGCCATTGAGAATCCCGGAGACTTTCTCGTCTGCTGGGGGACCGATAGCAATAATCATGGAGTGCGCAGCCCGAACAATGTCGCAGATTCCATAGACATCCTCGCTTTTACTGCTGGCTTTTGCAACGCCATCCGAGTCGCGCACACACTCGAAATCAAGCCAAAAGGCGCGTTTGCCAGCAGCCAAGGCGGCGTCGATGCCCCATTGAATCAGTCTTTCGCGATCTCGGTGAGCCAACGCCCTGTTTGCTTCTCTCGTCTCCTCATTGGGGTAGTTCTTCCACTCGTCAATCTCAGCATCCGTGACAACCCGAAACTGCAGGCGGGTATACGACACAAAGACAAACTCTGTATCCGCCTGATCGCCATGTTGCTGACTATAATCGGATACCTTCATCGTGCTGTACTGTCTCTTTTCTCGATCGGTGATGAAGCACAAGTATCTCGGCCCCAAAGGCAGCCCCCTTGAGTGAAATCGAGAGGGCGAGGATGATACATTGCTGAAAATTGCCTGGTCTGGCCTAGGTGATGCTAGCTGGCCCCCAAGTTGAATGTTAGTTGAGGAGGGATCACTTGATAAACGTGGTGCCTCACGGGCCTCTAAAGGCAATGATGATGATGGGTGCGGCGGCGGTGTTGGCAGCGTGGGGTATTGACATTGCGTCTCGATTCGTTCTGGTGATTTGCTCTTGATATTTCTAATCCTCGTTACAATTGAGGCGAGAGCATTAGGTATCTAACCTCACGCCGTCAGTTATGTTGACCACCATTACCAAGTGACAATGGGACCAGGACTACAAACCATAAAAGCACATAGAGGCGCTGCCGCGAGAAACCTCAAGATCAAGAAGAATAAGCCTCCGGGCGAAACATCCACCTTCTCGCTCCCCTTTACGAGTATCGGAGATAAGACCCAATACCAAATGGCTTCCATAGTGCCGACCTTGGAGAAAGGCTCCCCCAGCCGAGTCCATGGCACATTCTCGGGCAGTACTGAAGGCTGCTGTAAGCTCTGGATGACCATCGGAATGAGTTTCCCATCTCCCGGTTGTGGAAACAGGAGATGGTCACCCTTGTGCCCATCAGCATCGGTTGCGGGCTGTTCGGTCGACATGGTAGATGTGTGTTTGGGCATCACAAATAAGCCGCCATATCTGATTCAGTTTTTCTTTCGACTACGACGACAGAAAAAGATAAAATCCAGAGGGAAGAGCTACGACCGGGAACTAGGAACCAGCCGCATTTACTCATTAGCTCACGAATGTGCTTTATCGCCGCTTCGTCTTACTGCAGAGGGGCTGTGCAGCATTATTTTTAGACGATGCTACCCAAGTGAGGCTGAAATCGTCACCAGCCACACATAGAAGATCCTTTCAGTTTGGAGAAGGATGCAACGTGGGCTGAGGCCTTGGCATTAAATCATACATAATATTATGCAAGCCAATACATACAAGGCTGCTTAGAAAGTATGGTTCACTGATTTTCAAGTACGCCACACTGGCTCAAGTGGACTTGGTAATCATTCCTAATCATTTGTAACTGCTGCAAAATAATAAAGAGTTATTAAGAACACCTGCATTGATAATATCACTTTGGGAAGAATGTGTAATATGAAAGAGCATTAAGTAATTATTATGTACCTATTTGAACACTAATCAAGAATCAAAACATAAGAGAGAGTAAGACATGATCACTCCCCTCTCGCCCTGCCTCTTTTTAATCCGCCCTCTTTTCTGTTTTTGGTGTTAAAATAGCAAATCAGAACGTCAGAGGTCACTCGCAGTGGATTACTTCGCCGTGGATGTTTTTTTCTCCCTTCCTTTCTGATGTTTTTGTCGAAAGAGCATTCAAAGTAATCATGCGTTAGCTTCCAAGCAGAAATTAGCATGTCCTTTAGACATTAAATCATGCCTCCCGGCATGAAACACGAACCATAAATAAGGTGATAGCCCCATTCAGTTCCAAGAACTGGTTTGAAGGACACGTCCCTCCATCGAGTCGCGTTCACGGCAAGTTGTTCGATCAAGCGGGAGTATAATCCTTGATGATCATTGTCTTCTGCGCGGAAGGTGTCTTGTTGTCTGCTGGCAGCGTAACCTCTGCTGGGAGCTTGTAGAACGACTTGATATCTTCAATATCGCTCTTCTGCACCTGCGGAGGCAAGTTGTAACTCATCACTGAGAGCGGGTTTCGAGTTCCGTAGACCTGTGCCCCTCCCTCATAACGGAGAGGGTCCAAGGCAAACTCGTGACGTAGGCCCAGGGTGTGGCCAAGTTCATGCAGAAAGGTGTTCTTGAGCGTCTCCTTGTTTTTCTTGTCCGTGAAAGAGAAGCTGTAGACAGACAGGGTGTTCAAAGGCTGGGTGTTGTTGGGGAAAAAGGCCGATGCCATAACGGTGCCCTTCTCACCACCGTATTCGAGGACAAATGCAGCTTGCTTGAGGTTGTTGACCCATTTGAAGGTCACGCCCAAGTTGTAGCTGTTCCACTGTTCCGCCGCCTCCCACAAGCTAACAGCCGCATACTTAGCATCATCTGGGGAAGGGTAGCCGTTGGCATAGGTGGCAAAGTTGACCACACTTCCATTCTTCCAGCGTGGGATCTCCGTGAACAAGCCAACCAAAATGGAGGCCACAGAGCTGGTGTCAAACTTCTCAGTCACGCAGTTGTATTTAGCCTGAAGATTACCGTTGCCTGTAATACTGTTGTTGGTGGAAGGTTTTTTGTAGGTCTTGAGAACGGTTTGCGGGTCAAGGACTTCAAGATTCTTGTCGGGGAACAACTGTCCAATGAGTTTGAGGGCAGCATCTCGTCGGTCACTGATAGACAGATTCTTATCAGAAGGGAGACTAGTGCTAGGCATGTTGGGCTGAATGAGTTCTCTGTCCTCTGGGGGTGGGTGTGATGATGATGGTCTGGACGATGAACTTTGGCGAGGGTCGTTAATAGTCCCACACCAATCTGTTTCTTTGTTTGGATCCGTGGTAATTATGAGAGATGTGAATGATGTAGAGTTGGGTTTGATTGCTTCAGTGCAGGTTGGGTTGAAGAGTTAGGATAGGGATCAGAAGGGACGCAAGGCGTGTCTTATATAGCCCACGAGTGTTCTACTCCTTCTCTATCGTCTTAGGGAAAAGTTCATCAGGGTAAATCTGGAATGTGTCGATGGGCCTGGATTCGCTTCAAACTTTCAAAAACTCAGCTTCAGCCATAGCATGCCTCATGTCCATCGATCAGCGGTCGAGACTCCCGGACACACCAATGAAGTGTTCTTCCGACAGTGATTTACAACACGTGGATGAATCAATCTCTATCATATGGTAGAATGAAATGCTCGGCGGAATGAAGGCATCTAGGTTTTACTATATCTTCACTCGATAGTGAAATCCGGGCGGCAAACTTCCCTGGACTTTCCCCAAACCAAAGTTTTGTATTTCCCCGCCACGAATGTACAAGTATCTTGCATATGAGATGACTAGTGAGAGAGTTTGTGCACAAAGTAAAAAATGGAAATGGAAGATGCCAGACCCGGCATGTTGAGACACTGAATGCATGTGAGATCACATCTGAGGAAATCATCTTACCACCCGTGACGTTCTGTCCTGGAATGTAGGCTGAACCCCGCACGTCGTTGAACCAGCACTTCATGAAGGCTACTGACTTTGGCTAGGCGGCTGAGATTTTAGTTCCAATATTATAAAGTTTATGACAGATCAGCTTTGTGTGGCGTTAATCTGTCATTGTATCGTAAGGCTAGTAGGAATAATAAGGTCATTGATTGTATGAAATGCCTCGTGTTCTTCCTCGAGCCGTGCCACAATGGCGATCTATCTAGTATTGAGCTTTGGAGTATGGAGGTAAATCGGTCAACAGTGCCGTCTGACCAGCATGCTGGTAAATGTCCTCAGTCACTTTGGCTGGCTCGTGGCTTCAAGGTTATAGAATGCGTCATGTATCCCGGCTATCCACCCGAGCAGTCGTCGCCTCTATCTCTACGCAGATCATGTGCTGCAAATTATTACAAACTTACACCGCAATGACACCATGGCCAAATCAGGGGAGAGGCCTCATCCAATCCTTCAACGAGGTTTTATTGCAAGTGAAGGGCTTTGGTCCTTCCTTTACAACTGGGGCACCAGATTTGGTGATTAAGAATTTGCTTTTGAAGATGGCCGGGCAGTATTGCCCACGAGGTATTAGAGTTGTTTCTTTCATGGAACCGTCACTCACTCGCTTACAATGAGTGTATCGGTCCTAATGAGAAGATCCAGCAGGTGAGACAGCTGCACAACTTGCCGCTAAGCCATCGAGAGCTAATTCAAGCTGGCACTTGTCTAATTTCCATTTTTTGCATTAGTGTGACTCTACTTGAAACCCAGCACGGCTAGTAATACACTGCTAGTATCCTTTTCTGGGTTCAGCCCCCAAGGGCGTAGCGATTGAGCATATCAGTAGATTGTAACCCTCTGTGCCATAGAGGATGAGTCTCTGCTGTCACTTGGTGGGCGACTGTATACATACAAGGCTATATATTCGCTAAACGGAAGTATGGACGAATAGAAACGTCCATAACCCAGGAATTGCTTGCAAATCTAACCTAAACATTGGCATCAACTCCCTTGATAAGATCAGTCTCAAATGAGTACTGAAACTTCGAATCATCTCGTTCTTATTTTGTTTCGAGTATTAATCACGTTCAAAGATGGCCTTGGAAGTGTAGTAGTCTCCTTGCCTACCATTTTAGGTGGCACTATGTACGAACAAGGGTGACAAAATAAAGACAGTCTATCAACGTCCAAGCGATACTGGATCCCGCCGAGGCAGAAGCGCAACCCCAAGCTTTGGTTGATATGGTTATTCTTACAACCGAGCAAGATCAATGGACCTTTTGTCCGGTGCTACAATATCGAGTCACAAATGACTCCCGCATTGAGATCCATAAGGCATGGCCTCACCTAGTGACGACCTTGACGACTCCTTGCACCGTGATCGTTCAAAACGAAACGCGCAAATCAGAGGCCAGGCGAGGCGAGTGAAGACAGAAGCTAGCATGAATCTCCATTATCCGAGCCAATACCGTCGTATTGTTCAGCCGATGACGTGGGAAGGGAAACCCCGACTTCCTAAAACTTGCTGTGGCTGTATAATCTCTTTGCTATGCTATGGGATGTTACAATGGGGGCGACGGGCTATGGGCGTGGAAATAATGGGAGATCCCTTTTGGGGGCTCACTGAACGCCCACGAGGTTCAACCAACAAAGATATATTGGAGAAGTTGTACGTTACATCGAGTTTATTGATGACCGCTGGAAGGGTGGCATTCCCAGTCGGCCGATAACTAAGCCAGCTCCTCCGAACGTTCCAAAGCGGCCCAATTTCTCGTGTATTGCATTAGGTATAGCCCGGCACCACACCATAGACTCAAGAGTTGGAAATTCAATCTGATAACCGAACCAAAATTAAGCAACGATCCACAATAGCTATGAAACTTTGAGGCTGTAGCTGTGTGCGTGTACACGATCCTAAGAAATGTGCCAGTTCACGCGTATCAATAAGTGTCTTCGTCAGGTCTATATATTCCCATTACCTATCCAGGTTACTCACGGGGTCAGAGCTAGATCATCTATTTGTATCGAAGTGCTTCAGAATCTTCCCTTCCATGTCACCTATCATAAAGGAACCTAGCTCCTGAGCTCCTCTCTTGCTGTATTCTCTACCCAAACGAAACAGTATCGCCGAATCAAACCCATCAGCAGTTGGTTATGGATATTATTTGCCGAGATTGTCAAGAGACTATTATATTAAGCAAGTCGATTAAGCTAGTCAGGGCAGTTGTTGACCAGACTAAGCTTCCCCATTCCAACCGCTTCAATCAGAATGTCGATCAGGCTGCCGGTACGAGGTGATGACACTCAGCTTGCCGTGTTGGTCCGGATCTACAGCAACCCCGGTGACATACGGCCTCCATCCCACCAATGACATAGCTGAGTACGACATTCCCTCCACTCTCTCACTCTTAAACCTCATATTCTGACCTTGAATGGAATGATTCTAGATCAGCTTATATTGATCAGAGTGTGCATTTATCCAGCTCCAACAGCCCAATACAGATGGCAGTGCGGAGGCTAAGCGTCCGAGAGCGACGCTAGGCGATGACAGGACTCGTGATCCCTCGGCTATATTTCCTGATGCATGTCATGATACCCCATACTGCAACACCATTGGGGAAGCCCGGCAAATGCGGCATCCAGTCGGTAGTTCGGTGGAATTCTTCATATATAACTGATCCGTACCAATCGCGTCTGGTTCTTGATATACCCATTAGCCTAGCTACGGTAGCAAGAGCGATATATCAAGAGTGATCAGAAATCATGTAGAAATATATAATAGAGCGATTCCCGGTATAACAACGTTGAGTAACTATTCAAGCAGCATCGTGAAAATCTACCGTCCTTTTCAACATGCCCTCGCTCTCCTCCAACGTCGCACTTGGCCTCATCGCCGCAAGCGCCATCCCGCTTGTTGCCGCTGGACCTTGTGATCTCTACGCCTCTGGTGGCACCCCGTGTGTTGCAGCACATAGCACCACCCGTGCCTTGTATAGCTCTTATACCGGTGCCCTCTACCAAGTGAAACGGGGCTCCGACAGCGCCACGACTAATATTGCACCTCTGTCTGCTGGAGGAGTCGCCAACGCTGCTACTCAAGACAGTTTCTGTTCGGGAACGACCTGCTTGATCACCGTCATCTATGATCAGTCCGGCCGCGGCAATCATCTGACCCAGGCGCCTCCCGGAGGCTTCCAGGGCCCAGAGGCCAATGGCTATGATAATCTCGCCAGCGCCACTGGCGCACCTGTCACTCTCAACGGCCAGAAAGCATATGGTGTTTTCGTTTCTCCCGGAACCGGGTACAGAAACAACAACGCCAATGGTATTGCCACTGGGGATGCCGCCGAGGGTATGTACTCGGTCTTGGACGGCACACACTACAACGGCGGATGCTGCTTCGACTATGGCAATGCCGAGACCAGCAGCAAGGACACTGGAAATGGGCACATGGAAGCCATCTATTGTATGATCTCCCCTTTTCATTCGCTACTATGACAATGCTAACCGTTACTAGTCGGAACGAGCACAGCTTGGGGCACTGGCTCTGGCAGCGGTCCATGGTTAATGGCTGACCTGGAAAACGGATTGTTCTCTGGTGTATCGTCAGGCAACAACGCCGGTGACCCATCCATCACTTCGAGATTTTTTACCGCCGTGGTCAAGGGCGGACCGAACCTGTGGGCACTCCGTGGCGGCAACGCTGCGTCGGGATCACTCTCCACGTACTACAGCGGCATCCGACCAACTGCTTCTGGTTATAACCCCATGAGCAAAGAAGGCGCCATCATCCTCGGAATTGGCGGTGACAACAGTGTGAGCGCCCAAGGCACCTGGTACGAGGGTGTGATGACCTCTGGCTATCCCTCTGATGCCACTGAGAACTCTGTCCAGGCGAACATTGTTGCTGCCAAGTACGCCACGACCTCTTTGACAAGCGGCACTGCCCTGACTGCCGGAAGCAAAATCTCATTGCGTGCTACCACATCCTCAAGCAACACACGATACCTTGCTCATACCGGCACTGCCGTCAACACTCAAGTTGTCACATCTTCCAGCGCAACAACTCTGAAACAACAGGCCAGCTGGACAGTCCGTGCGGGTCTGGGAAACAGCGCCTGCTTCTCGTTTGAGTCCGTCGACACCCCCGGCAGTTACATCCGCCACTCCGATTTCACCCTTTATGTGAACGCCAACGACAACTCGAAACAGTTCAAGGAAGATGCCACCTTCTGCCCGCAGAGCGGTATCAGCGGGTCGGGCAGCTCGATACGGTCTTGGAACTACCCGACTCGCTATATCCGCCACTACAGCAACGCAGGCTATATTGCCAGCAACGGTGGTGTCCATACATGGGATAGTGCCACACTGTTCAATGACGACGTTAGCTGGGCGATTAGCAGCAGTTTTGCTTAAGTAGCCCTATGTTAAATAAAAGGGCTGTAGAGACTAGACTTGAGGTAGTCAATCAATATTTTATACAAGCCCTTGTAGGAAACTAGACAAGCACTCTTAATCAAGTCCTCACAAGTCTCGATGCGCAAATAGAAGTGTGTGCAGGCCTGTCTTGGGTTCATATTGATCTATCAAAACAGATTTTCTTCTACATATAAGGAAACAAAATGTCGAAGATACACTTTGCTCGATCAAACACACTCCGGTGCCCCATCAAAGCAAGCTCTCTCTCAACCACAGTATTAAAAGACACCAAATCCATATCCCGAAATCCTCGATCCTCCGTATTTCAACGAATGCCTCTGAATGAAAGGAGGGACAGTCGGTGATCCAGAAAGTAACTTTTCATTGGCAGAGTGTTCACCAGTACTCGATTGCCAACATTCCCCTGGTGATTACTCTAAGCAGTGCGGGTGAGAGTGACGAAGCCGCTCTGGAAGTCGTCGCCGGAGCCGCCGGTGGGAGCCTCGGTAGGGAAGCTACCATCGCCGCCCTCGGGAGTACCAGTGGGACGGTCGCCGCCGAAGGTGCCAGTAGGACGCTCACCATCGTCATCGCCACCGTGGCCAGCGCCGGGAGTGCCAGTGGGACGACCGCCGCCGAAACCGCCAGTGGGAGTACCAGTAGGACGTCCGCTGTGGTGGCCATGGCCAGGAGTGCGGGTAGGACGGCTGCCGCCGAAGCTGCCAGTGCCGGTAGGACGCTCACCACCGAAGCCGCCGGTAGGGGTAGGGAACTCGCCAGACTCGTCGTCACCACCCTCGTAGTCGTCACTAGCGTTCTTGCCGCTGGACTCGCTGTCGTCGGGAGAGCCAGTAGGGAAGCTACCGCCGAAGCCACCGGTGGGAGTACCAGTAGGACGTCCACTGTGGTGGCCATGGCCGGGAGTGCGAGTAGGACGGCTACCGCCGAAGCTGCCAGTGCCGGTAGGGCGCTGGCCACCGAAGCCGCCGGAGGGGGTAGGGAACTCGCCCTCATCACCGCCCTCGTAGTCGCCCTCCTGACGGCGGGAGTAGTCCTCAGAGTCGTCGGAACCGCCAGTTGGGAAGCTGCCGAAGCCACCGGTAGGGGTAGGGAAGTCACCGCCCTCACCACCACCGGGGAAGCCAGGGGTTGGCCAGTCGCCTCCGCCGGGGAAACCACCAGTGGGAGTTGGCCAGTCACCACCGCCGGGGAAACCGCCAGTGGGAGTTGGCCAGTCTCCTCCGCTGGGGAAGGCAAATGAGCCAGAAGGAAGGTCAAAGGGTTGGTCGTCATCGTTCTCGTATTTGTCGACAGATCTCTTTCCCTGGGGGGCAGCCCAGCTGCCCGAGGCAAAGAGCAGAGCAATAAGGTAAGCTTGGGTCCGGCCCATGATGACGGTTTTCGAGTCTATCGAAGTTGGAAAAGAAAGAAGGTGAGTGGAAAGTGAATGTTCGACTTGCGAAACAAAGAGAGTGTGATGAGGATGAGAGTGAAGCCAAGTCCCAAGATCGAAGCCAAGACTCTGATCTTTATACACAGATCAAGAACCCCTAAAGCTTGGCTAAACGAAGTGCTTATCCCGGCTTGGCTTTTGGCGCCGGGTCCGAACCGCTCCACTCTCTCCAGACAACGGACCAGGGCTAGAGGTGCTTGTTCCCCTTCGGTCGCGAAAGCTCCGTGAAGCGGTTTGGGACTAAATTTCAGGAGGCCTGGGGCTTGAAACACTCGCAACTCCTCCGCAGCGAATCAGCGGCTCCAGCACCACTCCTGGAGGTTGAGCCCACCTGAATAAGGGGTTCCTGTCAAACATCAACTGTGAGAGTTCTGGCAACGATCAAGCCGCGTCAATGTGGGCCGATCGACATCGATTGCGCGTCCAGCTAAAATACATGTTTTGGGCCCCATTTCGTAAAATTCTTTGGCGATGGTGCCTTCAGACGGAGGTATGCCTTCGAGACCTCAGCCCACATGGAGGTTCTGTTTCAGAATTACAGCGAGACGGTTTCATGAGTACGCCCAACGAGGTTTGTTTGGCTCGCGCGCAGCTCTCGAAGCTTGCAAGGGGCCAACGTGCACACGTTGTAGTACGAGGCTGGATATCGCGATATCACAACCAAAAATGATCTCACGGGGCCTCAGTATCGGTGATGGGCAAGTCTAGGGGCAGTTTTCCGCGGTCTCCGAATCCACAACATCAGTGTTACACCAGTTTTACATCTCGGCGTCCTCTTCAGCTTCAGTCCCAAGAACGGACATGGGCAGGCCGGAGCAAAGAAGGATGATGACGAGCGCCATCCTACACAATTACTCAATTGACGCCATCTAGGTTCCATCGCTCTAATCCTCCCCAGGCTCGCAGGTTCACGAATGCTAAGAAATGGGATCGACAAGGCACAGGGGTGGCTCGCGCAATTTTATTCATCTGCCGAATAATCTTGTTCTTACATCTTACAACGGGGCGCCTGGTCCGAAAGCGCAGACATCAATATGGCTCAAGCGCCATGTTTTGACAATATCAGATAGCCGACTATAACTGTGATTCCACCTGCATATTCTAGACCATTGATTATCATAACCGCATCCTGCCACACGGCGAGAGTACCTCCGAGGAAAAAGGAAAAATCTCAGACAGCTAACGCCCATCTCATACCTGCAGCGAGTAATGGGGATTACGAATGCTTCCCCACTCTCGAAGCTGCTAGAAGCAAGGGCAGGCCAACTTAGACAGACCCAACGTTTAGGTAGGAGTGCTCGAGTCCTGAGGTCCACTGAGGGAACGAGTTCCCGGCTTGCGCTGATCCTTCAACGCCCTCCAGGTCAACCTGGGAACAGCCGCCCTGGGCGTCCTTGCCGCTGAATCGATCCTCCAGCCACTGGATGTAGGTCAGTCGAGTAGCTCCTACAAGCGGCGTGTGGCCGTACCCATCCACGACCACGTAAGTAAGATGGTTGTCCGGGCTGATCTGGCAGGTCGCTTCGACGCTGGCTGAGGTAATATCATGGGAGATGAAAACGTCCCGAGTCCCCTGAACGACCATCAACGGACCAGCGAAATCCTTCCTCCCGGCATTCCCCAATTCCTCGAATGCGCGTGCGTGGTACGACCCATTGTACCACCCAGGCTGCAGGAAATCGCTAGCAGGGGAGTTGAGGAATAGCTGTTGTGCGACGGCGGCACTTCCCTGGATCTCCCGTATCAGGTCAATTCTCGCGATAGCGGCCGGGGTGAACCACTGATCGAGCGAGAAGTCAGGAAAGATGCTGCCCACGTTCATGCCGGCCATGATGGTAGCAAATGTCCCGACCTCCCAGGCCTTGGTGACGGGGGCCAGGGCGACCGTGCCCACGTAGCCTTTGATAGTGTCGCTGAGTTCCTTGGCGAGGGACCCAGCCTGCTTCTGGAGCTGGCCTACATACTCGGCTGTCGACCATGCCACGCCTCCGCCCTCGCTGTGTCCCATGACGGCGAATTTCCCATCCAGGCGGCCCTTGAATGCCGTGCGAGCAGCCTGTAAACTAAAGATTGCATCGCGCGCACCTGATGGCCCAAAGAAGTACTGATGGGGGATCTCTGAGCCGTCCCAGGACTGACCCACCCCGAGACCTGCGTAATCAGGGGCTACGACTGTGTAGCCGGCCTGAGCGAGCCAAAATGGCATCATATCTCCGTACTGCAGAGAGCGGTACGCAGAAGGGGCCGCATCGGCGAAGAAGCCCGAGGTGCCGTGCGTCCAGAGGATGACGGGGGCGAACGAGCCATTGGTCGCCGAGGCGAATTGCCGAGACGCAAAGGGCCAGAGCACATATGCGCTTGCCGGGATGACGGTGCCGTTTGGAGTTTCGCTTGTATATAGGATACGGCTGAGAGTTGTTCCAGGGGCAATGGCAAACGGGTAGGTGTCCGCCGCTTTTTGGATCTTGAGCACCTCGCCAGGCTTCAACTGGGAGGAGTTGTGTATCGCAGGGAGTGTGTAGAAGTCGTCCTCTCTAGGTCCTCCGTTGGCCAAACCGGATCGGTCAGCATTTATTACCGTGTTGACTCTAAAGACGAGGTCGTCGGACAGGTTTGCGGCGGAAATCTGCTCGGGAGTGAGAGCAAAGGACGAGTTGTAGATGGTGTTGAGCAGTGCAACCGGAGCTGCTTGGCCTTGGACTTGAGAGGGCAGGTAGCTAAGGGATGCGAATAGAGCTAAACCAAATAGTTTTGAAGCTGATAAGTTTTCCATCTTGGGCAATTGAATACTTGGATAGTAGACTAAGCCAAAGTCTTGCATGTAAGTCTGTTTAACTGGCTCATGGTACTACGGACTCGAGGCAGGATAAATAGGCCATCGTCAAAACATCTGCACTACAAATGCCCGTTGAATTATTAATGCTCACCGCTTGAAGACTGACAAATGCTCCGGCGGAACTTCAACTCCATGTCGTGAGCATCCAGCACAGATTGATCAAATACATCCTTTTGTCAGATTGTCCGTCCGCAGTCCGCACGCCAAGAAGATCGTGCCTTCCCTTTCGCCGGGCATGCGTGCGGGGACTATCCCAAGGCGGTTAGTGTCCGCACGTGCTCCCCACAGCCACGCGCAGTGAGTGCGGAAGGAACAACAAAAAAAGTGGAAGGCGCGATGAGCCAAGCCGCGGATTTGCAGAGGCTCACGAAAGCCAAGAGATTTGCTGCCAAATCTCTCTTTTCCGGCAATGCAAGGAACGCTTTACGTGGATCATCGCAGTAATATTATTAAGCGGCAAGAAATCGATTTGATTTGCAGTTTTGGGCAAAGTGGTGTCCATGTGTGATTTAACGTTCGCGATCCAAGACAAAGGATGACATGATAACATCCGCTTGAGATCAGCATTCTGTACACATTCTTTACTCAGAATTGACCAAACTTTCAAAATAATTTATCGTCGCACTAGTAGAGCTAAATTAAGCACAATAGACTAACCAATCATGCCCTCAAAGCCAAGATTTGCGTATGGCATGATTTACGGGCGCAGGTCTAGGGTAGTGCTTAGAAATTCAACCCGTCATGCTTTACCTCTCTCCGTCATGCGCATTCCCGCTGATCCAGATGAACATCCCGCATCATGAGCAGAGCCTCAGGCCCCAAAGCATGCAAACCCTGCGCCGCCGCAAAGCGCAAGTGCGGGAGGCAGAAACCGCAATGCCTCCGCTGCAGACGCCTCAATGTCCCCTGCGTCTACCCTCCATCGAAACCAAGTTCCTACGTCCTCATCCCCGATGACGAGGATGTGATCACCATTGGGAGCGACAGTAGCGCGACGGCGGCGACATCGCGGGAGTCGCGGTCTTCCACGGCGGTGTCGACCTTGCCCCAGCCGCACGGGTTTGACCCTACCAATTTTCATCTGGCTTTGGACCTACAGGACTCCCTCATCCACGATGAACCGGATCTTCGCGCCTCGGCGCCGCCCTCGTGGTTCCAGAATATCCCAGGCGACCTTGGCGTGCTTCTCCCCATCCAGAAAGCGGACCTGGATCCATCCGCGTTTGACAACATGAAGCATCATGTGGGAATAGCCAAGGAGTGGCTCGCCCGCTGGGTGGACACAGGGAGCAACCCATTCATCCATCCGCAGCTGTATAAGCGACGGCTGCCCGCGTGTATACAGGACGCGTACACGTCCATGGCGTCTTACCTTCGTAAGAATGAGGCAAACGAGCAGATGATATACCGGATAATTGAGGACAGGGTAAGGAATCTAGTCGAGGGCCATCCAAAGGACCCGTCTGCGCTCGATCCGATTGATGCCCTCGGTCGCGTCCAGGCTCTGCTGATCTACCAGGTTATCGGGCTGTTTGATGGCGATCTCCGCCTGCGACATGTAGCCGAGAGCTACATCCAGACGCTGTATGAATGGGCTGCCAGTCTAGAGCCTCTTGCTCGGTATCCGCTGTGGCTGGGTGATCTGAACGGCACGTCGGGCACACACGTATCGACTACGGGCGTGTACGAGGCGTCGGATGTAGGCTCGTCGACCGACGGGTCGTGGATGTCGTGGATCATCGCCGAGAGCATGAATCGGACGTGGACACTTGTGGCTGGTATCCAGGGAGTGTACAAAATGATCCAGCAGTCTCGGAGCCACCGCTGTTCGGTGGTGGGGATGATGATGACCGCCCGCAAAGGGTTGTGGGATGCGCCGTCAGCCCCTGCTTGGGACAGAATCTGTGCGGAGAGGTATATCGGGTTCATATTTCTATCAGAGGTCGAGACGTTGTTCACCAAGTTCACGTATGATGAAGTGGATGAATTCACTGTGATGACTCTGGGTACTATGTTCGGACTCGAGAGAATCGAAAGGTGGAGGTTGAGGCCGGCTGTATTTTAGCATGCCTGGGACCGGGATCTGGTAGAATATGATGTATGCTCTATCATTAAATTATAAAAGGGTATCGGTATATAGAAAAAATGAAACCCATAACGCGCTCCCATGACTTGGACCGTTCATAAGCTCGTAGACATTCAATAAACGCGCTACCCAAACTCCAGACCGTGATGATGATAACCCTAGCTCGAAAGCCCATTACGCGTCGCCTCAAGAACCAGCTCGATGTGCTGCATGCAGAAGGCCTCCCTCTCTCGCGTGGCGAACAGCACGGCAAACTTTGCCACGTTCTTGATCTGTCTGCCGTTCATCTCGAGGGCTCGAAGTTTTGCAAAGTCGTCGTTTGATAAGGTGTTGGCTTGCCCGAGACTCCAGATGAGCTGCTTCCAGATATTCTCCCTGAAACTTGCATTCAAGTCGGGGTAGTTGAGCCTGAGATTGATCCGGCTCTGCATCGCACTGTCGATGGCTTCTGGGTGATTAGATGTCAAGAACATGAGGCCCTTGAAGAAATCGAAGAGACTGGATTCTGTCAGAATTGACTGCCCAGAGACAGGTGGGAACAAGGGAGCAAGACTTACCGAAGTGCCACACCGACGATGGCTCTGTCCTGAAGAAAGCCATCGCAATCCTCCAGCAGCAGGATGGCGTCCCATTTCTCCGAAAGCTCCAGCACCATCTGAAGCCTCTCTTCGACCGCCTTGGCGTCCTGACCCAGTTCTGCGGCGCTCAACCTGTAGAGTGGCCTGCGAGTGTGCTCTGCCACAGCCTCGACTGTGAAGCTCTTGCCGGTCCCCGGACGCCCCGCCAGTAAGATGTTCAGCCCCAGTCCCCTGCTCTGCTCCAGCTCCTTCGTCTGGGGCATGTTGCCCTCTTGCCCGTGGACGAACGAGAGCATCAGAGTCTTGTAGCCCTCCGGGAGCAGCAGAGTCGAGAACACTTCGTCGTCCCATTCGATGTCCTTGACGCTCTCCACCTCGAATTTCGCCCATCGGTTCAGCTCCAGGAAGAAACCGTGGACGGTGGCGGAACACAGCATTAGCTGATCGTCTGTGAGATCCTGACCTAGAATATTCATGTAAGTACCAAACTGCGCCTCACGGACTCTTCTGCCAAATGGCTGTGCCTACTTTTTCTATTTAGACTCCGTCTCGCCTTGATCTTGCTCGCCACCTTGTCGAATTGAATATCCCCCTCCAGCGCATTGATCATGGTCTGGGCTGAGAGGGGCTCGGGACGAATGTGCTCGTAGTCGCCGACGTCGATGTCCGGCATGATCGCTCCAGCCGTCAGCGCGACCAGCTCCGTGTCCTTTCGGGTCTCTCGCATGTAAGCCACCTTGTCTAGCACAATACGACCCTTCATCTACAAGGCGGCGTCGTTAGCAGATGAATATACTTGTAATTGCTGAAGGGAGGGAAAAACACATACGCTCTTTGTTACTTTGCGTCTACCGACAGTGTATTTCACCAGCCCGTCGTACGCTTTGTGTTGGTGCCCCAGCCCGAGTGTCTGGAACTTCTTCCCCCGCGCGATGGCCTGCAGCTCAAGCTCCTTCTTCAAGGGGTGGAACGACGCGGGAAACACCTCGAGCTCGGCAATGTGCCTCGTCCCGGCGAACCTGTCCACGCGGAGGGTCTTGTTGGCGTACCCGAAGCTCGTGCCGTCCCAGTCGACGTACTTGGCGTGTATCTCCATGTGCGACTCCTTGTACTCGCAGTAGTTTATAACAAAAAACTCGTGCACGCCGTCCTTGGTCGAGACGGCGCGCTCGCCCGGCTGGAAGATGGCCCAGAGCCGCCGGTACGTGATGGACTTGTTGGCCAGCAGCAGCTCGACCTCGGTCATGTCCTTCTGCAGCTCCTCGAGCAGCAGGTCGTGCAGCAGCTGCGAGTACGTGGCCGGGGCGGGCTGCGGCGACCGCTGCTGGCGCTCGAGGATCTCGGTGAAGCGCGCCCAGCGGAAGTAGAAGGGGTGGAAGGGCGCCTTGAAGACAAACTTCTTCATCGACGGCTTCATGCCCTTGTAGCCCTCGAAGACCTCGCGCACCGTCTGCTTGAGGCTCGCGTTCTGGATCACCACCGAGTCGAGCGACATGGTGCGGCCCTCGCTGTAGTTCTTGCGCATGCGCGCCACCAGCGCCTTGTTCTCCTCCTCGAGCGACGCGCCCGGGTCGACGGACCAGTTGCGGCAGCAGTGGCATGTCTGCGGCGCCTCGTAGAGTGTCTGGATCAGGACCTGCGACGTCTCGGGCGCCTCGTCGATGGGCGGGCGGCCGAAAAAGCTCATCTTGGTGCCCCGCGGGAGCGGACTGAGAACCACCATTTATTGCGTTCGGCTGTCGTGTTTGTTTCTGTTCGGTTCGGTTCGGTTTCTGTGCGAATTGGTGCTTCTATTCGCTTGCTGTTGGTGATTTGACGATTACCCAGCAAACAAGAACCGTCGGCGACAGGCAGGATCGTCTGGGAGAATATATATCAGTGCGAGCTGCATCTCCTTGGAGGAACGGGAGGGCCGCATAATTAAAAATATTAATATTGGAGACCGTCAGTCAACGCAACCACTTTAACTTGGAGCCCGGTCAGGGGCCCTTGGCGGCTTTGGGCGCGTCAGCACACGCTCGTGCCTGTCACGAGCCGTGAAGATCCTTGCAGGCTGCTGCTGGGCGCCGTTTGTGAGAGGGAGAGGCAGCGTAAGCCGAGGATTTAGTGCTCCGCCAAGTCTGCTGGTAGAGCCAGATGCCACATATATCCTTGCTTTGCCATGATGTCAGTCGAACAGGGCTTCATTTGATTCAAGGCTAGAGCGAGATGTGTCGCGTGCCTCTTCTCGGCAATTCACATCTCGCATGAACCGATTAATATATGGCTTTCATGCCGAGTCATCCCTTTGACCACTACCATCACCATGATCGAATGGGACACTTTGTGCTGGCGCGTCCCCTGTCAGAAAGACATGCTCCAGTTGCTATTTATAGAGCTGGCGGATGCACCACTGTGACAGTACAGAGCAAACCCAATCTTTCTTGCCCACCGCCGTGACTGTTTCCGCGATGGATTAATACGTTGATGCCCAACAGTATAGTATCTCATGGATTTCTATCGTGTCTTTTAATATTTTATACGAATAAACGGTAGGAACGCTGGCCGTCCCGGAGGACTGAGGATATGGCACAAATTAGCTGTCCCACCTGTTCTCACTGATGGCTCTCGGCAGTCAGACACAGGGTTAGAGGGCTCCTCGATCCAATCCCGGCCCTAGACCTGCCTGGGGTCATGTCTGCTGGCCTCCTCGGTGTTGATTGGCGAGTGTGGCACGCATTCTTGCCCCAGATGCAAATACTCCCTTGCCAATTGGCCTACCAATCGACGCGGAAGCAAGATCCGGGATGGTGTGAGGGCCACGCTACTTTACGATTGCAGGAAACTTTGATTCCGTTTGGGCATCTAATATGAGGCAACGTGTCCAACGGACTGGGATGAGGTTTTGTCGGTGATTATGGTACGGTGAGAGGTAGGATGAATATCTTAAGCAGCATTGCATGTGTTTATTATTTTCCTAGTACTCTCATTGCCTGTACCCCGCCATTCCATCGTATCGAGACATCAGGATGGTCGGAAATACATAGTTACCGGGCTTCACGATTATTTCTTTCCACTGCCACTGCTGCTGCCACTGCCGCTGCCGGTAGGAGTGTAGGTAGAGCCGCCCGCGCCATTGTTGTAATAGGTGCTTCCATTGGGGTTCGAGTAATAGTAGGACCCATCACTACGCCGATTAGTATGCGCTACAGACCAGGCCTGGATGATATGGAACTCACGTGTTCGAGTAGTGGTAAGAGTTCTGGTTGGGAGCGCTGGAGCCATAGTCACGGGCGCAGTAGTGATTGCCCTGGAGAGAGTTCAGCATGTCGGGCTGGGCATTACCACACCAGCGCTGTAGCTTTTACCTGTGAGTTGGTGCCGGAGCTCTTGTACTCGTAACCGGAAGGCATCTTGAAGGTTGAGCGACAGTGTTGATATCTGTTTGGTGGTGTAGTGGGTAGATCGCAAGGATGGATGTGAATGGCAAGAGGAAAAGGCGAACGCAAAAGCTAGATGGAAAGAGCAATGGTTTTATACTCAAACTCTACCCCGGCTTTCCCTTGCCTTCTATCTGGTAGGTTTACCCCGCTTCACGTTGCTTTTTCTCAAATGTTGATAACGCCTTCATTGGCAGATAATGGTATCACTAAAAGCCGCTCACGTATCAGGATGCAGTCTCGCCCATCCTAATTCGCTCATAACACGGCTAGGAGCTGAAGTCTGCCTAATAATAGACAAATAAGACGAGCTTTCGAAAACATGGGTCGACAGCTGAGACAGCGCAAGTTCCGAGTTGGATCTGTCCTCTCACCGCTGTTCCTACGAACCCTGTCTGCTATATTTTAGATAGTCCTATAATCTGTTCAACTCTCGCCCCTTGCTGAATGAATGTTAGCTTTCTTTTTGGTATGCTAACCTGATCAATGTGATTTCCCCTGAACTAGGCGTGACCTGATGCCTGGTTGCCCACCGTCAATTGCGATAGTGAGACTGATGGTGCCTATGACGCATCTAACATGATCGATAGCTTGTCCATTAATTTTCAATAATATCATGTTTCATGATATAATATTTATGCTGTTTTATATTTCTTCTATGTAGTCCGAACTTGGATGGCCGCTTGGAAACAAGGAACGGATTCTACGTCTATTGCCAAGTCATAATATAAAAACATGTCATACATCTACGCATACTCGTGCCATCCTTCAATTGAATCCTTCGGTTCCGACCCAAGTGCCCAACGGATGAGGTCAACAGTGACATCGTCGCTCTGCTTGGCAAATGGCAAATCTACCCAACGCCTGAATCCATGAGGAACCCCGGGGAATATATGAACGCTCGTAGAAGTCCTATGCAAAGGGCACATTCATGTTAGTATGCCTACGAGCAACACGCGACGAGGAAACTGCGCGAGAGATAAGAGAACCTACTTCAGAGCTTCCAGTCGCTTGGCAAAGATCAAACCATCGTCTCTCAACGGATCCATTCCAGCGATGATGAACCCTGTTTTTGGCCAACCTTCCAACTCGGAGTCTGGGCGGAGGGCTGCACTAATCCTGGGGTCTGCGCTGTCTTCCATCTTCAGTAAATTGACGAATAGCTGCAGCCTGGGCCATGGAAGCACAGGAGCATCACGGCACTGCCGACTGGAGGCCTTTTCGGGCGATTCCATTAGATGCAACGGGGTATGATCGCTGTGAATAAGCCATGGGATAGAGAGAACTGCTCCGGAAACCAGGCGCCTGTGAGATGGGTCTGCCTTTGCGCGCGTCACGTCGTGCTGCACAAATTCTGCGGCGAGATTGGCTCCAGCCGAGATACCCAAGACTGCCAGTTGTCCAGATGGAGTATCGATACCATATAAAGCAGAATTCTTGATGATGTGGTTATACACGTCCAGGGCATCATCATGAGCCACGGGGAAGACATGCTGCGGCGTATGGCTGTAATTGACGCTATACACTGAGATTCCTGCGTCAAGGGCAAGTTTGGCGCAGAGAGGATCTTCCGACGTATCTGTGCCAAATAGAAACCCGCCGCCATGGAAGTAAATGAGCGATCGCTGATTTCGAGTGCCTTCATCCCCCGCTCTGGATGTATCTTGCTTGGGGATGTATCGCCGCACAGGGATTGAATGTCCATGCCTCGATGGTACGAAGGTCGTTGAGATGTCTAGCCGAGATTCCAAGCCCGATTCTGCAAAGATCTTGGCGCTGGCTTTGTCTCGCAGCGAGTTTACCGTCTGTTGAAGCTCCAACGCAGTTGAGGGGTCATTTCCACTTGAGCCTTCTTCGGCAGCGCTTGGATTTGCCGCAACAAACGCGAGCCACTGAGGGCTTGGGTGTCCGTATTTCGAGAAATCCATCCGGGCTTCTTTGATCCAAGAAGAGGCTGAAGCTTCGTGTCGAAACTGGGATATTTTAGATCAATGGTTAGATTGGCGGCTCTCGGATCGAGGTTTACAACGCTACAAGAGGCGAAAGTAATAAGTAATGGTGCCATCTGGATCCTCGGCTTATTAAACCCGGACAGAGGCCCAGAACCCCTCTTTTCGCATCGTGTTAGGCCCTGCGCCGGATGAAGCTAACTGGACATTGATGTCCGCGGGGATTTCCCGGATTATGAGACTAGGATAACTTGCCGAGGAACGTTTTTGTACCTACCATACAATCTAAGTAGGATAATGCCAGAAACTATTTGACTTGAGAATGGTATTCATTTTAAGGTCTAACGGCAACTCATTTCTGTGGAAATCAGGCGGATGTATATACAACGCTTACTCTATGAACGAGTCTACCTCCCACGACGTCTAAAGTCTGGCCCGTTCTGAAGGTGTCTTCTTGGACTGACCGATAACTCGGTTGAATGTCTCTTCGACATCATGTTCTGAGAGCCAGTTTGTGTTCGGTCTTCCCTTTACCTTGGTCTGCAGGCTTTTCTCAGCATCCTCATCTGACGAATACACTGGCTTCTTCGCTCCAAGCTGACCATGGACAATTTCTAGGAGCCGAGTAGTGTGAGGTCTTCGCACACTGTCATATAGTTGGATCGCTTGTTTGATTGCCGACGCGCTTACGGGGCCTGGCGAGTTGATCTGTGGCAGAAGGACATGCTTGAAGGCCAAGGCCAGGGCGAGGGAATCATCTAGCGCCAGCGACCCTCCAGCAGCAAAAGAGCCGCCGTGAGTGTGGGCAGCATCTCCGACTAGCGTGGCCCGGCCTGAGATCACCCATGAAGGGAGCGCATCACCCACGTAGTTGGGATAGAGCCGAATGTATGGTGTAAGCTCCGACAGCGCCTTGACTGTCGGGTTCCAGTTCTGTGAAGCTCGGAATTAGCTAATCCTGAGTGTTTGCGTGTTGACAATTCCTACCTTGTATTTCTCTTTGAACCAGCTGACATCATCTGCTTGGTTCCAGGCAACAGCCTTGTCGATCTCTTCGGTGCTCCTGGGGTCATCAAATGATCCAACAGTCGTAAACTGACCCTTTCCTATGTCGAAGATTTAGTCTGAATGAATTCGAAACATACTCCAAGTGGCATCTGCGACGTACCAAGCTTTGAGGCAAAGAAGTGATCGTTTAGACCCCACTATCGCAGCATCATTAGTTTAGACTCTGGAACCAGTATCAGTGTTGAGGAAGAGCTATTACCCAATGAATGGCATCCTCGGGTAGATCTGGCACCTTGCCTTCGAGGATAGATGCATCGAAGGTGGCGCGAGCAAAGGTCTTCCCACTGTATTTTAATTTGTGCTCCGGGACAAAAGCCTGTCTGACTTTCTAAAACTGAATTAGCGACATCTATGGAAATCGATACTCAGAACCTACCGATTTTATGCCATCGGCGCCAATTAGAAGGTGGCCTCGCGCCTCTGTTCCGTCCTCGAACGAGAGAGTGACGCCGTCGGCATCGGATTTCGCACCGACAGTCTTCTTCCCCAAATGGATGTTACTTGACGGTACGTGCTTTAACAAGGCCGCGTGGATGTGGCCCCGATGAAACCGGGTTGTCTGGTGTCGAGGATTCGAGACGCTGGTGTATGTGTCTACGGATACGACCTGGTTTGATTTCCAGTGGCTTCAAATATATTTAGCATAGGATACCAACTGGAGTTGATAGACATTAAATAGAGGGTATGGTATACCGTATGATCTGAGGAATCCCGCTTGTGCCTCTGAACCCAGCGTCGTCATCAAAGGCATTGGTCACACCAAGCTTTTCCAAGGTTCTCATGCCCTGTTATACCATTGTAAGTCTCAAGCAACAGATAGAGAAATTTGGGAACAAGCTCTGTTCAGGTCGTTCCACACTTACATTGGGGCTCAAGGCGATACTTGCTCCGATTTCAAGAAGCTCGTCGGCTTGCTCGTAGAGCTGGATGTCCAGATTCGGGATACCGGAGATACGAGAGAGCGCCACGGCTGTTGCTAGACCTCCAATGCCAGCCCCGGCAATCAGCACGCGGAAGGGCTCCTGGGTGTTGGCCATGTTGTATCGCGAGACGTTGGAATGTGTGTCGTCGTTGGTCGCACAGTGTCTGAGTTGCCCCTGGCCAGAACACCATCGTACCCTTATAGAATAAGACGCATTGGCGGATCTAGGGCCGACTTCGCTCGCCGATACTTGGATCAACCAATAGCAGATCGACTGTCGCCAGTCTCGGGACGGCGCTGGTGTGTGATTGGCTTGGTGTTGAGCACGTCACCATCACGCAACCAACATTTGTCACCCAAGACCAGCTTCCTCCGCTCCGGCATCGAGTCTCCGGCCCCGTCTCTTCTCTTGGCCCATTCTCGAGACTCGAATGGACCGTCAGGAATCGGTGGTAGACGCCGAAATCAGCCCACTATTGACGGGTGGTCGGCCTCTGTGCGACATGGCGACAAACATGGGTTCAATTGCGCTATCAACGAACCCACGCGACAAATGGATCCATATAAAGACCGCAGGCCTAGTCATTTTATGTGTTTGCCAGAAGAGTGTTCGAAATGACTATGCAGAGAAGCTTATAGCCTCGCGTACTGGATCTAATTGGAATTGAACGATACAACAAGCGCCGTTTCGTCAGTAACAGATTATCGCATCGTGACGGCTTCTACCCCGAAAATACCCGCCGATAAGGGACCAACACACGACGAAGAAACATTTAGGAGCTGAAAATCGAAGGAAAATAAGTCCTGTTATGGGAACCGAGATTGAATGCGAGCCTGGAAATTCGCACCGTGAAAAGGGTAACTGACCCCCAGGATCTTGTCACCTATTGAATTGTTCTGCCTTGAATGTTCAAGTTATCGGTGTCTCGGCGGCGCGCAAGAAAGGCTTTCCCATGCTACATTAAGTCTAGGATTATTACGGCTTCTCAGAACACATGGCCCCTATTCCGATGGCGATGGATTAATTTGAGAACAGGAAGAACGGAGAGTACCACGAAAGAGACAATGTATCAGGGGTGGAATATGCGTGAATAGTAGTTCGAGTCTTCCTGCTCGGGGAATTATCAACCCACTGCTACAAGAGCCTTACCGTTCTTGCTCTAGGTTTGGCTATGCGATACACATCTGCCTCCATGTTCGAAATCGTTGCTGTTGGTGGACGGAATGAACTCCGCGAACGGCAACTAGCCCTGGGGATCATACCTCCAATTCCGAGCAAGTTTTTGCACCTAGGAAAGGTATTCGTATAAAGTAAGCGAGCTAAAGTGCTTTATGAGCATGAAACTTGAGCCTTGGTCCTTGTATACCAATATTGTCATCTTTCCTCTGAAGAATTTCCAGATATCCCAGGCCAGGACTGACATTGCTTGTCTTTTGATACGAGTCGATTATCCGGGCATCAATTCTAGATAGGAGGGCAATAAGATAATATCGTGACAGAAAGTGAGAGCAGAAAATATATTATTCAGTGATCATTGTTGAATGAAATTCATTCCCATTCTTGTTGACTGTGGCTTGACCTCAATATCTTGAAAGAGAATGCTTCCGGGCAAGTCTCGACTCTCCTCACCCTATTCCTTTCTCTAGTTCTAGATAGTTTCAGCAGCATCTTATCTATGGAACCCTTAGATCTAGAGATATTCCTGCCAAGGATCAGCTCTCTTGGCAAGCTGGTAGGAAACCTCTTGGCAGGGGAGTTGTGGGGGAGCTGCAGCTTGGCGATCCATGACAAATGTCCGATCGACTTCAGACGGAGACGCATGCTGTCCATATCTGGGTCCGGGAGCTAATACATAATCCCGGGCAATATGGTCGTCTGATAACACACTCAATCTGTTCAAGTTGCGATTCTTTCTAACCATATTTTTCCTGAGAACCAGCCCGGATAGTGTTGTTGACGGCATGTTCTAATCACAGTTTCTCCAAAAGGCTTTCCATCAGGAAGGGGATGCCTGCCACAGTGTCTATAGAGATATCAAGGATGTATGAAATGATGACGATGTATTCAATTGCGTCAAGTATGCGCTCTATTATAATAAAAAGGGATATTACAGACGCTATAATCGCTTGCCTTTTCCACCGGCACATCTACCACTATCTAGACCGCCAACATTGGGTATCAACAAAGTACTCGAAACAGTGCAATTAGAGACCATTGCTCTTGCATGTAAAAACTCCGCCGACGGTGCCTGCCTCGAACTGGTCGATGATACCTTGCACACTGACATAGGTACCCAGAGTGAGGAACAAAACACCGATCAAAACGAGGATGGCGTTGAAGACCACGGAGACGTAATCCAGAATGCGGTTTCGCTCGAGTCCGACCTTTCGGTCGGCATTGCGCATGCGGAAGTAGGCGAGCGCCCAGAAAATGAAGCCGAACCAGCAGTTGAAGAGGGAGGACATGACAGAAAGAACTATTATGAGAGTTAGGGATATTCAGAATGATGGGGGATATTGCCACGTACGGGAAGAGAAGAATGGAATGACCTCCGCGATGATGAATGAGGCGATCCAGCTGATGAGCAGGACACCTCCCCAGTAGAGCCAACCCTTGATGGTGTGTTCTGTGAGGTGCTTCGAGTCCTGGAACATGCGGAAGAAGACGAAGCGTCCAGAGACGGAAGCATACAGGCATCCCACGAAAATGATGGTGGGGACCATGAAGGAGTATGAAACCTTCTTGTAGGTGTCGGTCAGAACACCAAAAGCAGGAGCAGTCATGTATTGCTCCCCAGTGTAAACGTAGATGATGGAACCGACGATGGAGAAGGTGATAATTTCAGCAATGGTGCAAGCCCAAAGAGCCTTGGGAAAGTCGCTATAATTGATATTTGTCAGTTTCTGAGCTTAAATAAGAGACTATCAGTAGAACATACCGAGGCTCACGCATCTCTGCGATGAAACTAGGAAGGGTGGTCTGGCCAATGAAGGTGTAGCTCATGTTCATAAAGGCAGACATGCCCGAAACAAGAGTCGTAGTGCTGGGTGTCCAAACAGACCAGGACGGTTCACCCAATGAAGGGTAGCCTGCGGGCTTCCCCTGGACACCGGAGAAAACAGTAGCCAGGAAAACGGAGATGAACGTGAAGAAGGCGGATCCGAAGCCCAGCTTGGACAGCATCTCAAAGGTTCGGGGCAGGGAGCCGAGCCAGCTCAGAGCGGTGACGACAACGGCGAAAGCAACGGTTCGGCATGCGTGGATCGTATCGGCTTCGGTCATGGTGTTCAGGTACATGGCTCCAACAAGAACGTGAAGAGCTTGGATGAAGGTGTTGTTGAGCAAGAACATGGATGCAGTCCACCACCAAGCCCAACGCTTGTTCCACCAAAGCATCTGACCAATATCACTGACATCCTTGACCTCGGGATGTCTCAGGCAAAATTCCCACACAATGAGACTGGTGTAGAGCACCAGGCCGGCGCACACGACGGTGAGGATCAGGCCGGGGACGAGACCGAGCAGCGAGTAGCTCCAGGGGAAAGACATGATGGAGAGCACGATGTATTCACTGAACAGCAATCCGGCCGTCTTCTGCCAGCTGCAGGTCCTGTACTGGATGCCATTTCCTTCTTCTGAAGCAAGCTGCTTTCCCACAATGTCATTGGCGGAGTCGGTTTCGATCTCGGAGGAGACGTTCTTGAGCAAATGGGTCGCGACAGGCTCAATACGGGGGCCAATCACGACATTGGGGCCGCCGAAAGCAGAAGAGAACCAACTGCCGGAGGGCTGGGGTCTGACCGGCTCGAACGAAGGGTCCTCCGACTCGAGGGGGAATTTGGAGTCTGCCATGGTGAGACTGGATGGGCGCAGGCTCCGACGATTTTACCGTGCGGTGGAAGAATAACAGGACGGTGTAGACAGGAAAACTCGACAAACTTTCACAAGCCCGAGCCTAAAAGCAAACGTTGAGCAGCCGTGACTTCTTATAATTCCAGCGATCGCTTCCAGAAGCGGGTAGTGATTGCCACTCGAAAAGGTTCATCCCACGCGTCGATTCAGGAGACCCGCCCTGGAAGAGCGGTTACATTGGTAGGATCCACGGGGAACGCGTACATAAGGTGTTGGATTGCCGCCTGGGCATGCAGCCTTGTGTGCTCTGCGCTCCTCCAGCCCGCTCCATTGCGTGCGTGCTGCCGTGGCTCGCAGTCCCTGATTGCGCCATCGACCCTCCCTCCTCGCAAGGAGCCGAGCTGATCTGGGGATGTTTGATGATGTCGAACCACTAACTGGGGAGAAAGCTCTGCTGGTTGGGATTTCCATCCATCGTCAGCGTTGGTCAGAGAAACTCTGATTGGATCGCCATGGCCGAGATGGAAACGGGTAGTGGGGAGACTCATGGGCCGGGTCTTTTATTAGATTCGCCTCGGGCCTTGATGCTGGCCATGGCGTGCTTGCAGGAGCTGTAGTGGACTCTTGTTTTGGGATGGCAAAGATCGATCTCCATGTTCTATCAACTCGACAGAGACTTCTACGCCAAGGCAGGGTGGCCGTTGTCCCGAAGTGTAATACGCTACGTGAATTACTTGGCTGGAAATAGATCATCAGATCAGCAGCGTCTCTTTGTTCTGGCTCAGCTTGACACATAGAAACGTCCCGCACCGGCCTTAGCGAAGTGGCTGCATGGCGTCCCGTTCAGATGTACTCTATAAGCCATCTTCAACCTCAGATGGAGTGACACCTTGCCAGCATCGCCCTTGGCGTACCGTATACCAATTTCTGTGAAAATCAGCCACGAGATTCAGCGGAAGACGGCACGTTTTGTCTGGGAGCATTACCAGTTGCATCGAGGGCAGCCAGTCGAGTTTCACAGGAGCCAACAGGGTTTGCCAGTACGCCATCGATACCTGCAATCACGCAATCGAGAACCCGGATCTGTCGGCAATCATGGTGTGAAGAGATGCTCCACTCGTAGTCTTTAGGGAATGTTCTCTGTGCATAATACTGCATAATAAATCTTAGCTAGCGGTCTGCTCTCCATAAACTCCCCGCAGTCCAGCCATCGGGCGAACCTTGCCTTGGCTCAGGCTGTGTACCATTTGAATATTCCCGAT